GAAAAATTATATACTTTTAAGTTTACACAGACATAACACTAGTAGATCTGTACTTTATAAGGCTTTATAGTTTCTCAATTCTATTCCTTGACAATGATGTATCGATTATAATGTGACGCATAACATGCCTGCAGCCACAGGTATGTGTAATACAAGTAAATTTGATCTTATATCTAATTTGTTTAAAAGAATACCTCACTTTCCTTTACAATATCTCAAGTTTCATACGTACAAAGATAGAAAAAATAGTTTGATCATTCACATTGACAGCCGGAAAATACTTCTGCTAAACACAACATATGTCGTTTCTGTGAATAACGCCAATAGTTGAATTTATTTTTTTGACCCGATCTGCTCCATTTTCTTTAATAATGATTTATGATGCTGCGATTAATCAATACAACGGTTTTTCAATTATCCAAACAATTAAAACTGTATTGTTTTATTCAGCTATAGCTAAACGAATGAAAACGATTTTTTGTTTAGCGACTATATATTTGATATAACTGTTTTATTTGATTATCAAAGATCAAGATTTACATGTGACGTATAAAGCAAAAAATAATATTAATCGTCAAAACTTAGTATGACGTCTCCTGTGGAAAGGAAATAGCATCTAGGAAATATTTTAAGAGAATGAAAAAGAGAAAATTTTTGTTGAGTCATGATTCAATACTACATGCTTAAGAAGCAAGTTTTTTCTAGAATAGATTCCTCTTAATTCATTTAGCCTTAAGGTTACCTTCCTTTAATCAGTCGTGACGTCACAGCGTCGTTTGCATCAACAAGTTGTGCGGTCAAGATCAAGATTAATATGTGTGTTTATCCGTCACCTAAAGATATTATCAATTTACTGTAAACCAGCGGTCGGATTAAATTTTATTTTTCGTTTAACATTGATGTATATTATAATGTTTTTTTATAATTGAATTAAACGTAATTCAATACTTAAACGTAATATAATTTTTGTGTAAAATGTTTTAATGTTACTACATGTTTACGTTTAACGTTAAAAGGGTTAGAAACGTAATTTACTACCTTATGCTGTTTTTATTATTTGTAAGTTTTTAAAACTTTTAAATGACTATAATTTTTCTTGCGTAGAATTATTTAAAATAGAACATCTGTAAAGAATTTATTTTTGTTTTAATAAGAATCGTTTTATGTTGTAATATAATATAATATTATAATGTCTATAATATTGAACTATATTTTACGTTTATTGATACCAAATATTTTTGATTTTTGAATTACGTTATAACAACAGTTTATCGTTTGAAACGTTATTATTATAACCTTATTCATAACGTTTTCTTGCTCTGTTGTAAACGATTATAAACCACCGCAGAGATGGTTATTACCATTGTATTTATGATTCATTGATTTGACATTTGAAATAAAGTGTTTAATACCATAAATGATCTGTAAAAATAAGTTTCATAGTTTCTTAGGCTTTTAAATAATTGATATTCCGTATTTACTTTTGATGAACAAGAAATGATGTAGCTACTTAATTTTATCTCGGCTCCATCAATGTTAGATGAATATTTAAATGATTACATTTATATATATATATAAGACAGATTGTTAACAATACTAAACTCTCTTTTTGCCATCACATAAAGCTATGTATATAGTGTAATATTCGTTTTAACAAATTGAATAGCTCGGGAATAACTGAAAGTATGTTTTTTATGTGACTCATAAAAATATCTATGAAAACTTATCTTGACTATAATTATTGCGGTTTTAGCAATTCCTTAACATTCAAAAAGTATAACAAAAAATAATATCACTTTTTTTTTATTATGAATCGCTATATTCTATGAACTATTTAACTGTTAAGTCTCGGGGCAATAGTTTTATTTGCGTTTTATGGTCAATTAAATTAATAACTGAGAAATAAAATCAATCGTTGATTTAAACTAAGCGCGCAATTTAATAATGCGAACCTATCCATTATAATAATCGATCAATATTTCTCTTGTAAATTCTGTGTTAGATTTGTTACATTTTCCTTCTACATTTTGTGCTTAAAAATTATCGGAATATTCGTAAGAAATACACGTTTTACATGTCTGAGAGGTAGACAAGACCTATTATTTTACATGATTGAAATTCTAGGTTAATAAACACGTTACTCTCTAATAAATATTTAAATTGAATTGATAAACATCTTTAATGTCGTTATCATTGTATTTATGGTAAAATAAAAAATTGCTCTAAATACCATATGCAAAAATAGTTTAGTTTTTTGAGTTATGTAAATTTATTAATACTTGAAAGTAGGTTATCCAAAATATAAAGATAAATTACATAAATATTGTGTTCATCGAGATATTTTAAACTATCTTTAAGAAGTTTATAGTTACTAGAAATCTTATTTGTATTTTATTCATTCGATAACCTTGCAAACAATAGTGAATACAATTTTGAGAAGGGATTCTTATAACAGTCGTATTAGTTGGTCAACATATATTTTTTGCCATTATAATACATTTGATAGTATTATTCTTAAATAGAAAGCAATAAAAAATATTAGGAGAGTTAAGTGAAAATTAAATGTGATAATTTTGAATTTAACTATTTGGCCTTAGAAGTATTGAAATAAGTTACAAAGGGTTTTTAAATTTAGATTTTATGGTCATGTAAAGTTATGACAGAAGTTGTAATTAATAATCGTTTCATGTATAGAATGAATAGGATATAACTAAACAGCCAATTTCTTACAAGGTAATTCCCTTTTTCATAAGTATGAAATAAAAATCAACAAGTTTCTTTCATAATGTTTTCTATTTAAATGTTTATGATTCATTATATTACACGTCGTCTATTTAGCTGCGGTGGTAAACGGTACTTGGACAATTATTATGATAATTTAAAATGCAAATGCATTTTTTAAATTTAAGTACTCATAAAGTAATTTTTTCAAAGTTAGGGGTTTTAAAATATTAAAAATATCATATATTTAGTTAAATAAAAATAAAGTTATAATATTGTTAATAAAATAGTATATGAAATTTTTTTTTTTTTGTTTAACCTACGACATCCATAAAATATTTCTATTAATATTTAATTTAATATACTAAAATGTTTTAATTCTGAATAAGTGCCTTAATATAGAAACAATATAATAAAAACGTTTTACATGTAATTTTAGTTGTATTTTTATTTCTTCAGGAGCAACCATTTAGTGCATTATGCTAAATTTTTCATTTAATTATTTTAATTAATTAATTACTGGAAGATATAAAAATCCTTACTCTCTGTTTATAATTTTAGTAATCAATGAAAAAAAAAAATAGAAAATTAATTATTTTGGTCTGCAAAACTATATTATAATTTTACAATATATATATATATATATTGTATATAGTCAGTCTGTAATAAAATATATAAATCTATTAAGTACTGATGATTTATCAATGTAAAACATAATGTAGTATGATTTTTTCGGCTATTTTTTTGACAAACAAACATAAAAGATTAAATTCGATTTACGATCATTTATCAGTTTTTTTAAGAAGAACAAAGTTTTTATAAGTTTAGGTTACAATAGTTATTTTGGTATAGTGTAGTTTAAGATTTTTGAAATTGTTAAAATTTCTTTACCTAATTTTAGAAAAATCATAAATTTTTATAATTTTATTTAAGTTTAAATTATTTTATTTGGTTCCAATTCCCACCATATGTTTTGATATAATGATAGCGATTAGTGGCTGCCCCTTTTTAACTCACACCTGATCTTTACCAATATTTTACGCTGTTATAAATTATTTTATTGATTATTTATTATACTAGGGTGACACAATCATTAAACGAACAGTTAATGGTTTTTCATCGTTTAAAGTTCTTTATTAATTTATATTTTGATGTCACACTTATGTTAATAAATATTTGTTGTCTGGAAAATTCTCTATTGTAGTAATATAAAAATATTTATGATTAATAAAAATTTATTATTAATGTTAAAAATTGAAGTTATGAAGTATACAGTGCAGTAGGACTGAATTTATATATTTTCTTTGTTATAAAAAGTAATAATAAAAACTTTTTACAATCAAATTTGACAAGTTTTTATTTGTAAACTTGGTAGTGTTTATTCACTGGCGATGTTATTTATATATTATAAATAAATATATATTTATAATATTAAATTAAAGAATAATAAAATATGTTAGGATTATTTTAGTGACCTGTTGTCCTCCGTAGTTGTGCGTTATTCAGTATTTGTCCGTTTTTTAAAATAAATAATTGTCTAAAATTTTAACACGAAAATAATATTCTATTACCCGCGTACATACGCTGTGCTTAAATTTTATTTATTAAATAAGTAAAGTGGTTGAAAAAAAAAAATTTTATCACATTACAATAGTGTTCTAAATTAACTGTTTTGTGCTCCCTGTTTTCAACTATCAGCTAAACGTATAATGCGGTAAAATCACATCTGAAGATTGTGGTGCATCGTTCAAAAATTGGGACATAAATTTTGTGTAGCTGTTTTATAATTTATTACAAAAGTAATAATAAATGTTGGTAATACCATGTTCTGAGTCTCTACTGGATTTACCTAATAAGAATATAAACTTCTTAAAAAAAATGTTGGTTTTATTTCACACATTAACTTTCATTTTAACAACACAAAGCTGACTTAAATGCAAATGTATTTCGATTTGCATAGTTTTGTCTGTCCATTGAATGATTTAGTATTTTGTCGAGTAAACTTGTTATGATAAATAACAACAAAATACGAATTATAATAATTATTGAAAACATAATAAACTAAATATGTTACTATGATGTAAATACTTAATTGTAATTACACATTTATTATTTATAAAAACATTACAGAAGTGCATTGGCAATTCGCATTGGCTAGGTGATGTCCAGTCTTGTGTTATTATATACGCGCATGCATATGATATTATATATGTGTTTAAGCTGGTGAGTGGGATGATCGGTGGCGGTGGTGTCTGGAATCCTGACTCAACGCGTCTGTCGTTGGCCGCTTATTGTGTATGCACCGCCACCGCTGTCGGGACACACTTTGTGTATAATGCAACACGCACAGTTGCACCACACCATGCACGGGTTACCCTTACGATCCGCCGCTGTTGTCTTTTTATCGATCACCATTGCCGTCGACAGTTGCATCACCGTTGTCTACGCCGAGTCTATAGGCGATTCGGTACGCGAAGCACGATGCATTGCAAAGTGTCATCACCATCCGGCACCCCAACAGCCCAAAGTAGGTACGAATTGTTAATGCACTTTAAATGCGACATATTTTATTAACATTTTAGGCTAAATAATTTTATTTTATGACTCTTCTGTAGCGATAGACATACGAGGGGGGCGTCCCCCTTTTGCGTTCTGGGGGTAATTGTTCCCAGTATTTTTACTTAAGAAAACTAAAATATAATATGCGATGTCTCATGATGAAATAACAAACGATATCTTGTTACAAAATATCAAAAGTGATATGATTCGTGGTAATCAGTGATTACAGAATGTCGACCCCTATAGAATAACTGTAATCAATTTTCCCTATTATGTTAGTAGCCTCAAGATATTTCATTTTCAGTAAACTATTTCCAAGTAAATTACTATTGTAAAGTTCCATTACTATTTCTGTAGAATTTCCACAGTATTCAATGCATTATAAATTGCTATTATAAAAACCACTCAATATTTACGATATCTTCTAATAACTTTATATTGAATAATATTTTTATTTGATAAATATGTAATGTTAGACAAATATTTTATAGTACCTACTAAACTTCATGTTTTAACTATTAATGAAATATCTAATATGAAATATATTATATAAATAGCTCTTTATCTTTTAAAATTAATATTACTGAATTATTAAAAGAGTTAATTTGAATTAATTTCATCAAATTAGTACGTTTAAAATTAAAACTATATTAAAAATATTAATAGTATTTTTTAGCATTAAATGAATGATATTTTTAATATAGTTTTAGTTTTAAATAATATTAGCTACAAGTGATTTGTAAATTAATATGTAACTGAAAAATTAATTTGAAGTGTTCATCAACTAAATTTAACAATTAATGTTCAAATTCATAATAGTTTCTACGATGGAATTATTTTTTTTAATTATTATCTTTCTCTTAGTTAAACTGATAAATTAATTGTTTGACTACAGTGTCACCTTTTATGTGATTTGAAATTTTTAGTGAATAGAATAGATAATCTACGAGTAAAATAATGTAAACGTAATTATTTTTAATTATTTACATTTTTAGCTAAACTGATAACGTAAATTACATAATTAATGTGTCAAGTTTCATGTAGTGTTAAATTTTCAGCGAATAAACCGTATAAAAGATTACGTTAAAACGCAAACAATAGTAAAATGAGAACAATACTTAGTGTCTCTATGATATTTTACAAGTTTACTCGCTTTTTACAGTTAAAATAGATATTGTAAATTTATTGTACTTTATTAATATCATCTTTGATTTTAATATTTTTTCCATTGTAAACTGGAATCTTTGAAGGTTATTTAAAATTACAGAGGTACGTCAAAAAGAAACTTAAAAATGTGCATAGTAGTTTCTTATGTAGAATAGAATCCCTGAAAAAATGTGGTTAAAAAAAATGTGTAAAATTGTAGTTTTTAATCATAGAAATTCTAATATGCTAATTTCTACGTGGATTATATAATAATTTAAACTATTTAGAATGTCACATAGTTTACATTTATTTTTTATAAATATTAAATTATTTAAAAAAGAATTATTTAGCATTATTTATTAAATGTTTTTTATACGAGTTTAGATTAAATTTTATTCTTATGACACTTTTGTATTTTTGACCATAAAAAAAAATGTACACCTATTTCATATCATCTCATAATTTATGAGTTTAAATAAGATATTAGTAATTTTTTTACCTATAGGTTTTATTGCAACGTAGTCCAGTTGCAAAAAAACCACTTGAAAAATTAAGATTCATGCAACATTTTTTATTTGATAATTTTACGACCAAGGAATTATTTTAAAATCAGTATCTTATTAGATTTTTTATATATAACTTTAATGATAAACGGAAAAATGTTTTTCTTAATTAAAATTAAACGTTGGTCAGAAACTAGGAATTTTATATTAAAGAACCTGTATTGTTTAATATAAAACTAATTTCTAATAGTATTTACAAAAGAAGGCATTATAAATGTTTTTGTTAAAAGAATTACTTTAAAAGTACCAAAATTCTATTCGGCCACGTGTTTAAAGAAAAACTTCAATCGAATTGAATAGAATTTTGAAAGTATAGTCATTACAGAAAAGTAATTTTTTATGTGATTTATAACCGATAACATTTGCTGTCCCCAAGTTTCTTTAATAACAGTTTTCTATAAAAATTATTCCGTATGCCTATAGTTCACGTGAAATTAATATAAAAATAATTTTAATAATTAAAAGTAATTTTTTTGTATTCGTTAACAATGTAATTAAATCAAAAATTAACTTGTGGTATATTTTGTTACAATCTAATAAAATATGCCTATTAAAAAGTGAACTCGTTAAAAGTTGTTTTAATGTAGCGATTAAAAACTCTTTATTATATTAATTAATCATTAATCATCAATCCTATATTATATATTTGTGTTTAATTTAAGGTTAAAATATGTCATGAAAACTTCTTAGAACATTAATGTACATTTTATATTACTTTTAAGGGAAAATGTTTAAAATTTATTACTAAGCAAAATTTGAGGTGACGACTATGTTTTTCTAAAATGTGAACAAATCATTGGAAAATTTTAAATTTAATTCTGACATAACAATTGAGCGGATGTTTAATGTAAAATTAATAAGATATTTTTTAATCGTACATTTTTCTCTTTACTCATTAGTTGCTGAAATTTGAGTCGAGTTTTTTTTTTTGTAATATTATTCTACAAAATTTTTAATACAATTTCATTGTGTGTAATGAATTCAATTATTTGCAAATATAAGAATATATTTATACCACCAATGGTTTAATATTACTTTTTACCATTTTCAATGAACAATTAAAAAGGGAGCTAGACATTTCTTGATTTTGCGATGAGTATTTTTTATGTCAGGGTCATAACTTCATATTGTTAACTAATACCGGTTCTATATTGTTAGTGTCATAAAAAAACTCTTAAACTGAGATTAAGAACATTTTGAAAGGAAAACGGTTCTTAGGCCATAGGTTGCTACAGAAGTAACTAGGTATATTTTATGTGTAATAGTTTAATACAAAAAATAATATGGTTTTTCATAAAGTCTTTTTCATTGAACAATTAAAGGATGATGTTGTTGGCGAAATTTCTGATATATTTGAATAATGTTGACAAAATTAACTTTTTACTGTAATTAATAAAATATTGAATATTTCAAGAACTTGAACACATTCGTTGATTTAAAAATACAAAAAAAGTTATCAAATAAAACTAATAAATTTGTAAGTTCTAAGATCTGAATTTTATTTACATATATTTATGTTACGCTAAAAATAAATAGAAATAACAATAAAATTTCATTATTCTTTTGTGCAATATTTCGACAAAATATAACATACTACAGAAAACAGCTCATAAATAAAAATATTGAATATATCACATTGTTGACATTTCTTTAGAAGTGAATAGGTAAAAATTTATAAATAGATAAATGGTAAAAACTTGGAATTTACAAGAACAATTAAATCAAAGTGTTAAATTAAATCAGAGTACAGTACGCGTGATATTTAATATGGACTGTAACGAATGGCGGCCATTTGTATGTGTACCAGGGTAAAAATCGGATGTCTTTTTTTTTTTNTTTTTTTTTTTACGCTACCCCTTAATTTTTTTTTAATGGTCAAAAAAATGAGCTGTGCAAAATTTGGGACCGATCCGTTAAGGTTAACCCGTGCCCCCGGGCCTATTAAGTTGAGTCGAAGAGTCAAATTTAATAGAAATTACTGATCTATGTCTCGTAACTTTTTTTTCTCTTAACTTAGAATTATAAAAGTAAAACTCAAGTAAAGGAAATTTTACAAGAAATTCAAAAATAATAACTTCAATGCTGTTTTCTCAATAAATAGCCCACAAAAACACTACATACAGTAAAAAACATGTGAAAGTCTTAAAATACGTTATAACTGATTTTGTTGATTTTTAATTATATTATTATAATATATTTGTTGATAATGTACTTTTTTACAATTAGGAAATTTTTTCCGATAATTACTTACTATTTGTAAAACGTATTGTTTCTGTTATTCATTTGTAGTTAATATATTAATGTAGTCTTAGATTAATTTAATACCACGCTAGTCGGTATCATTAATGACTCGTAATTTACTTATAGTATTTAAAGCATTTTTGTAACTGTTGTTGGCACTCCAAAATGATGGATCAATTTTCAAAAAATCAGTGTTCAGATTAAATAGTTGTAGATTTGATGGTAACTTACTACCAGTAATTTCTATTAAATTTGACTCTTCGTCTCAACTTAATAGGCCCGGGGGCACGGGTTAACCTTAACGGATCGGTCCCAAATTTTGCACAGCTCATTTTTTTGACCATTAAAAAAAAATTAAGGGGTAGCGTAAAAAAAAAAAAGACAATCGATTTTTGAGGGCCACCCTAATGTGTACATAATTTTTTTTTATTGTATAAAAATTAAAAATTGAACATTGCGTGCTATAAAAAACGGAAAATCTACAGGAAATATAATTGAAGTTGAGCCGGTAAAATAAAATATGACCAATTAAAATATTCGTTCAATTTTTGCTGTGTAAAATCGCAAGTACTCATTTGTGCATAAAAAATCGTCTACTTTTGGACTGTCGTGTTATAAACGTAGCTAAATTTTCCGGTAATGGTCTTTGTTTTTATGATGTTACCCGTCACCGGCTGTGATGTCTACAAGCCATTAAAAACACTGTGACTATACGGAGAATTTTGAACTAATCGCTTTTTCTGTCCGCAGTGTTACAGTAGTTGTTTGAACGAGCCGTGGATTAAGCCAGGCGGGTGTCCGGTCGCCGACCTTGATGATGTCTCTCTGGACCGTCCGTGTCTGGAGCAATGCAGCGCCGACGACTTTTGCGATGGCCAACGTAAGTGCTGCCTGCATAGTTGTGGCATAACGTGCCAATCGCCGGTCGGACTCGATCATTATCCTGGTATGGTTATGTCCGTCATGATTAATCAATGCCCACTCTATAAATTTGTTATTATATTGATTTGTTATACACCGCGCACTTAAAAACAATCAAGTTTTTGGACTGTCGATATAGTTTGGTTTGATTAATTTACTACGAAACTAAAGTAATTCAAAATCTCTTTTGATGGTCCAAACATATGTGTATATTACAAACATTTTAATTGATTCAAAGTTTACGATGATAACGATTATCCATTGCTACTTTTCTAGAACACTAACAACTTATTGCGTACTGCAATTATTGTACGACTATTTTGATTGAACTATTATAGTATTAATATACTATAATAGTTCAATGAGGTGATTTGAGAGTTTATACAACTCGCGGTTTCCTACTTGAATTTTTCATCTTTATTATAGTTTCGTATTTAAAATTGTAATTTAACAACATTTAATTATAACTACGCTTTATCGTTTGAGCAAAGTCGTTGGGTAAACAGTAATTTACGTTGTTTTTAAGGGCTACCAGATAAACCAACGGTTGTAGCAGTAGAGGATTATGGCAAACCGTTAGTAGTCGAATGGACGCCAGTGGATTATGACAGTAATAGTCATCACGTCACATATTTGCTACAAGAGAGGCATCATGCAGGTGTCAAGTACGTGCCCGAACGTATGACTCCGTGGACGATCGTGACGAGGACCGACAAGACTAGGGAACCCTTAAAAAGACTACAGACTGTTGGCCGGTGGTTTCAGTTTCGCGTAGCTGCCGTCAATGAAAATGGCACTCGCGGCTATTCACAGCCTTGCGTACCGTTTTTTGTCGATCCGGGATCGCGTGAGTTTTCATTAAAACATTTTCGTTTGAAATTGTATGCTCGGTCATGTTATAATGATCTAGACGTCCGTGTAAACGAGTTATTTTTGTACCTCCGATGATTGGTTATCTCGTTATTGAGATCCGTCCGCGGAGCTTATTAAGGACATATTTAAAAACACAAAGTGTCCATATTAATACAACAATTATCTACAGTAAAATAAGTGGTCCGAGGAATTTCTTAACGATGTTAAGTCTAGATTTTACTCCGAGCGTACATATTGTTATTGTAACTTTTTTATGATGTTTATTTCTTATTTCATGTAAATTATCAGACAGCTACCCACATCACGACTAAAACTATTACATTTAGGTATAGAACAACGTTGCACGCTTTAAATTTTTAAGATTGAGTAATGAGTTGAACAACTGATTTATTAATGTGGAGTTTATGTTATTATAACGCACAATTTAAGCATGCGATTTCCATTAAACTCGAAACAATGTTTTGCGTCATTATTTATTTATATTATAAATACGTACATATCAAACATAGTAAAAATAAAAAAACCAGACTAAAAATTTTACTCTTCGGTACAGCATTTTCTCCATTGTTAAGAAAATCCTCGATATATTTTACTACTTTTAAACACTCGAGTTTAGGTTTTGTAAAAGAATAATTAATTGCTTGTAATAATATTAACTGCAAATTATTATCAAGTCCGAAAAATAAACTCGATCAATGTCATTGTCAATTTAATGGTCTATTGAAAATAAAACATTTAAGTTCTTGGATAAAAATCCAAAATTAAAAAAGTCTCGTTATTCATTCAAATGCATTAACTTATAAATTTACAAACAGAAAACGTTAAACGAATTGCACATTTTCTACATATTTTCACATTANATGGTCTATTGAAAATAAAACATTTAAGTTCTTGGATAAAAATCCAAAATTAAAAAAGTCTCGTTATTCATTCAAATGCATTATAAATTTACAAACAGAAAACGTTAAATGAATTGCACATTTTCTACATATTTTCACATTGCACCAGCTATTAATTTATTATCATAAAAAACAATGTTTACAGCGATTGAGCCGCCCGGGCCTCCCGAGAACGTCAAGGTATCTTCATTGAAATGGACGAATGATGACTATCAACAGTGCGTGTTGTCTTGGTCACCCCCTGCCAATTCAGCACTTCCCATACGCAAGTACAAAGTGTATATTAGCGAACAAGACGGATATCATCTTTATCACAAACGACATGTTTTACCAGCAGTAAGTTTACTTGCAAACGATAGGTACTTTTACCATCTGATGTGTCCACGTCAATGTTTACAAATTTTTACCTAACTTATCACCAAAAACATCATTAGTCAATATGAGTTTAATTTTAATTCTACGATAAACTTAAGTGTTATAGTTCATAAAAATAAAATAAAGCTACACAAATATTTCTGAAATATTCTTTTATTATACATGAATATTCGTTTATATTTATCTGTTATAAATATAATTGACATGGTTTAATAACTTGAATAATTAAAATACTTTGATAAATCAATAAAACACGATTCTAAAATTTTAATCTCGGTGGATATTTATGTTATAAATGTGTGTAAATAGTTATTATGATAATAATAATAGTGATTTATTTATTTTTTAATGAATGAAATGTATTGTATTTTATTGACAATAAATATTAGTAACCCAAACAAGAACACGCCACCGTAACGTTAATTTGAATAAACCGCCAGTTTTGTTTGATGAGTTCAGTCGGCAACCCCTTGGAAGTTTCACCTGATCGTATGTTTTCGACTTTTTTGCTAAGTACCCTGACCGGATATAAGATGGGTCGGCAGAAACTACTGCCTTGACAAGTGACAGCTGGCAAAACACTGGGATAATGGTCATCCTGTAGCGCTATAAAGTCATGCCTAGTAGTGCATTCGCACTTGTTCTTGGGTTGTGCATCGATCATGCTTTGGTACCGCTTTCTCATTTGACTGCTGAACGGCTCAAATGATTCATATGGAACTTGGTCGAACACCAACTCCCATTTCAGTCGGTCGGCAGTGGACGGACATGCGAATGACACACACGAGGCTAACGCCTGTAATTCGTTAAACCGAACGGATTAGTAAATACTCCATGAAGGTCTTGTTGGGGATATTAAAGATCAGATGACCAACATGTCCAAGTAGAAGTCTACTCAGTTTTAACTTTGACGTTTCCTTATTTTTCCGAGATGATTCTATATCTTGTGATATATTTTGTCAGCGTGCATTTATTATCAAAAAAAATTTTAAGGTATTTATTAGAAAAATAGTTTATCCATGTTAGTTTTATAACTAACTAGATTGTAAATGCCAGATGATGTTATACTTATAGTAAAAGATGGTACTTTTAAATTAATATTTACCAATAAAATTGGTGAAAATGTGGAATTATTATAAATGTGCAGTTTTGGAGATTTAAAATTGCAACTTAAATAAAAAAAATAAAGAATTTAATTTTGTAAATAAAGTTATTACAGGGAAAATAATAATTAGTTTATGTGAGTTTTGAGAGATTCCAAAATTATTATTAATTATTAAAAAAACAAAATTATTGGTTATTAAAACATAACTAGAGCTCAAAATAAATATAACATGTAATTTTTAATAGGAAGTTTCATTTTCGACTCTAAATTTAAATTCAACCTACGCCACGTTACTTTTAAAATATTATCACACCAATGTAATCAAAATCAAATTTTGAATAGTTAGGGAAATTTTATTAAGTTTTTATATTTTGTTTTTTTTAAATAAGCTTACCTAATAACGATTACCTATAGCTCTGGTAATAATTACATGCGATACACTTTATGAGATCAAAGTTGTACAGTTTTTATGTTATATTATAATTTTAATATTAGTTCATTGAAGGGTGTAGTGCAACAACTAGGCAAATCTGCGTACTATAGTGCAGAAACAGCTTTTATATCGAGTTTATTTTCAGAGTCATTCTATCTAGAACCATTGCTATTAATAAAAAACTTGAGTATATTTCTTTTTCTGATAATTTTTTAAGAGCGCACTTATCCGGTTGTTGCACTCATTAAATGAAATAAATTAAATTTATTAAATTATAATAAATTCGATTAAGTTTGAAAGTAATTAGAACTTTTGACTGTATTGATATTGGATTAAACATTTATTTGACGAGGGCTTTTAATTAAAAGCTATGAATTAAGAATATACGAATACAAATACGAAAATATTTAAGAAAACTATTTTTAAGCTAAATAATGTGTACTTACGTATAATGTCCAGATCGTGATTCCTCTCAGGACAACGTGCATCGTTTGAATGAAATCTACTAACGGTGGTCTCGTTTACCCTCCCTTCACTATTAATAGATCTTTATTATATTATATCTTCTTTAACAATAGAACAACCCTCGAATTTTCTTAATGGACCGCGTAACAGGATAGGCGAACCGCGACTATTATTTTGTCGCGCGATGACGCATATATCTGTGTTAAAATACATTATATATTATTATATCTCTTTTTTCCCTTCTGGTCAGGATATTCTGAGGTTTCACATCAAAAAGCTGAACACAAATTCCGAATATTTTCTCCAAGTGCAAGCCATCAGCGAATTCGGAAGAAAAAAGCTGGCCGGCCAAAAAGCTTCGGTGACATTGAAAACTGAAGGTGAATGAAAATATATCACAATGTTATAAATAAAGCCTATATGTTTAGCGTTTATAGAATCCAATAATAACACAAGTAAAAGAATTTGATTTAAAATTTCAAAAAAAGTTAAAAGGAAATTTTCATTGTATTCATTACACATAGCGATCAATAAACATGTGATAAAACGTATTACTAGCTGTAGTTTTCTAAGGAAAAATAGTTTTTTTCATACGCTAATGAATATTTTTCGATAAATAAATTCAATATTATTAACAAATTAATAAAATTGTTTATACATAAATATTTCGAAACGATAATATTTAAATTTTTATCGCACTAAATGCTCTTTTAAAAATGACAATCAACACAAATAAGTTGACAAAATATTTGTTAATTTAAAACCCGGAAAATATTAATAATTTGATATCGTTGTTTTAGAAAAGAAATTGTCAGTAAAAATGAATAAAATAAACGGTCTGAAAGTTGTAAATTATTATAACAGTACTAAAAATGATTTATTCAATGTAAAGATATCGTGGAGACCTGTTAGCATGACTTCAAAAAAGTTGACTTACACCTTGACGTGCATACCACAAAATTGTAAATTCGATAGTAAGACATTCAATGCAACTACTATTGTAAGTAAACATTTTGGTTTTTTTTTTTGTTAAAGAAGTTTCAAATTTTTATTTTAGATAAGCAAGTTGTATGAATAAGTTTTTTTTAATCTAATAAATTCATCAACTTACAGACATATTTTATTATAGTCATATTCTGCTCAAATTGGTTATTTATTTTATTTTAAAAGATAATCAAAGTATTAAAATAAATTAAACGTTTTTCAGCATCCATTTTTCGACATGTTCTCTTTGAACCGAATGTGCAAATATCTGATTATTGTTTCAACGAATTACGACGGATCCAAACACATGGCTTCTCTTACATTTTCTGTACAACCATAGTCAAGTTATTGGATTCGTAAACATAACTTAAGGTCTAACAGTGTATTGAAACACGTAAATTGTCGATGGTTTGTATACTAATAACAATAACTTTAAAATTCTATTATTTTTAATAAAAATGTGACTTTTTGAGAATTTTTATCGTTTATAGGGTTACAATTTTTTATATTATATTTCAAAAAATTATTAAATTGAAAATAAAAAATTGTGCATTGTCTTATATATAATTACTAAGAGGATTCAACACTGTTTTGAAGTGACACATTTATTCAATATTGACATATTATTATTTAGTCGGTGATGTTTAAATTTTTAAGAAATTATAATAATTAGTTATATTGTAGATTTATTGAGTAAATAGGTAGATGAGTAGATGTTATACGAGATCCAACGTGTTTGTTGTGTTGCCTATTTCTAAAGCCTTTTATACGAGTGATAACTATTAATAAATATTTTATTGTTTATATTTCCAATTTATATTAAACACATTATATTTTAACTTTTGAAATTTCAATTTTAAAACTAAAAAATATAAAGTATAATTGAGATAATTAGTGTGTAAAACATCCAAAAAGGATGTATTAATAATTTCAATAATTATAAATTTGAACCAAATTTCAATTTTCATCTTTCCGTTCCCAATAGATATTATTATTCAATGGATTATACTAGAAAATTGTTAATTATTTAAAAAGTATACGATTTATTCGTACATAATTTATCCTAATATTCGCAATCTAGTGAATAAAACGCACACTATATATACAAAAGATAATTAATATACATAGATCACATCATCAGACTATGGTTATTCATGGTTAGTCACTTTAAATTTTATAACTTAGTATACAAGAAAAAAAAACTTAATTTAATTAAAAATTTTTAAAATGTTATTCGTGCAATGTAATCATTGTGTAGGATAATGGCATCAGTTATTAGGAGTTCTCCAATCTTCGGCAATTTTGATGTTTGATAGGTCGTTGAGTGTTTTTTTAATATTTTGAAAAGTAAACATTTCTTTCTTTATTTAAAGATGTAGTCTTATATTTGATTCAAAACTCAAAATTTTTATAAGCATTAAAAACGATTTATTTCATATTAAACTTGATTGACAAAAATTGGTTATCCAAAAACTTGTGTTGTTCCCTATTCATAAAATTTTATTGTAATTTATGTTATATTTGTAACGTACAAGTGAAATTTGATACAATAGATAAATATTGAATTTTATAATGTACTTGATAAAAATTATATTTAGCTATTAAAATTAGTAAAAATGATTATTTAAAACTATTTATTATATGAGGATATAAACATTTTTTGAGATGTTCGAATGTAAATCAATAACATTTAAAATCGTCAAAACTTAATTAACATTTTTTGGTTAATCATTATTTTAATTTTTTTTAACGGACATAAAATTTAATAATCGAATTTACAAATATCGCCTATTGGTAAGAATGGTGAAAGAGCTCAATATATTTTAATTTTTCTAATTTTTGCATCAATTTCAACAAAAAAAAAAATGTTATATTTTAAGGCAGAAACGTTTATTAATTTAGGTATAATAGTTTCTGCAAGAGAGTCCATCAAAAAATTCATATTTTATTAAAAAACATAGCAGTATTAACTTCATTTATCCTCTCTTGTAAAGTTTACTTTTTCGAATTATACTTGTCATATTTTTGAAATAGGGCGGTATTTTTTAATATAACTAAATTTTAATTTCCTCCTCTCAAAATACATTTTTTATTACAATACATAAGATTTTTTTTATGTATTATTTTTATGTATAGGATGATTACTAAACTAAGCCCCTAGGTCCCATTTTACTATTTATAATAGAAACAAATATTTACTTTATGTACACAATAAAAATTGTAATGTTTACTTATTACTCTTAACTTAATTAAAAGGCAATCTTGAATATGCATTATTTATAACTTTCTGAATAGGTAGGTATTTGTTCTTCCCACACAAGGTCTGAAAATCGGTTTCACTTAGTTACGGCTTATAATAGGAACAGTAAGTATAACTATAAGTTTATTGTAATCATTGTATGTAAAAAAAAAAATCTTCTTTCTATTATTATTTTTATTTATTATTGAATATCAGTTCAATTGAGTAGAGTTTATAACAATGAAATTAAAATATATAATAATTTATAATTTACTTTCATTCTAAAATATATCGCGTTAAAACATTTTGAGATTCTAGAATAATTTCAGCAACAAAAAAAGACCATTAAATATTCTAGTTTTACAAAAAATATGTATTTATTTGTTTAAATTTTTTAGAAAACTAGTAATTTGATTATTGATTTTAAATAGTTTAACGTTTAATAATGTATGAATATTATTAAAGAAAACCATCCAATTGAGTATTTTCAAGACGGGGAGATAAAAGTTTTTCTAACACGATAAAAAATGATATATGAATTTAAAAAAAAATATTTCAATTGATATAAATAATTTAAAAAAATATAAATAAATACTATAGATAAATACTATAAATTAGTAAAAATTTTTTTAACTTCAAATATTTTATAGGAATAATGTTTACTTATAATCCTTTTCTTTGTGAACTTTCCACTAATGGGCGAATTAGTTGTTGCCTCAAACAACAATCTACATTTGCAGTTAAAAAAAAATAAGGTTGTGGTGCTATATAATCAAGGCACGTTAACTGGAATTCACTTTTCCTTGAAATATCTTAGTGTCTAAAAATGTTCGCCCTGGGGTTCCATTAACTGTTTATAAAATATTTTTATGAAAACCAACTTTAGGTGCTCAACTGCATGTAAAAGTGATTAATTAAATAAATTTTAAAAGGAAGAACATATATTTATAGTTTGTCTGAGTGTAGAATTAACATCTTGACTGTGCTGATGTGCAATGGTTTTTTGCATTTAGCATATGACTATATATAATGTATAACTCCATATTATGGAGTGCAAGTAGATGATTTAATTTGACCAATTCACTTTTATATCATAATAAGATTAATGTTTATTTGTACATTTAAATCGATATGTCACTATTAAGAACATCACAGTGTTCGTTTTGCTTGATGTTTTATTCTTCAACTCATAATTGATGAATGTAATGATATTTGATTAATTAAATGTTTTTAATTTTCGTTTACTTCTATTTACTCTTAGAAAAATGTAACTATTTTTTATTATTGAAAGACAACCGTAATAATACCAGAATAAAGATAATAACTACATCAAAATAGGATAACCAAATCACTCATCTATATAGTATTCATAATAAAATAATACCATTTACTTATACTGTTTAATCATACTGTAGTCGTATTACAAATACAAGCGCAAAACTCATCATATGTCAAAGGTTTGCGAGACTGTATTTGTTTATTCTATGCCGACTGCCTGGAGCATTAACTTTTTCTCGGTACATGGACCACAAGTATTTCATGAATTTTTGCCGCAGGAACTGTTTGTGAGATTAATTGCTTATGACGATCAATATTATCCGTAGATCACCGGAAACCTCTCATGGGAGAACCACTTGTAAATCAATGAAATTCTGTTAGATAAAATAAAAAATATTTTTGAAATTCAATTATAATTATAACAAAAACAAGTTCATAATGCGAGTGTTTTTGAATATATTAATTAATATTTATTGGAATCTTGACTTTTTAAATATATTGTTATATTTAAAGTAAAATTTTATAATCAAAATCTTACAGTATTCTAATAGCTCAGCATGACATCCACTAGTTAAGATACTAGTAGTCTAATCGATTAAATAAAGGACGACCTGATTTTTTTTTCATAAAACTTCATGTTAAATTATTATAATATAATATAGAATCTGTGTAAATTTATTACATCTAGTGTAGTTACTTTCACGAAGGAAAAACAAATTAAATAAAAATGTATAAATTACCAAAAAAATTTCCCGAACAGTTTTATAGCCCAACTTTTTTCACACGATTTATTTAATATAAAAGTGTTTACCTGTAGGCGACCAAAAACGAAGAAATTATTTTATTTTTGTTCTCATTAAAAGTTGAATTCAAAATTTTGTATATTTATTCTTATGTATTTAATTTTAATTGGAAACCAGAGAAATAGTAAGTTGGTGAACAATTGCTGTATTATATATAATATAGTAGAAGTATAGACACCTTATTATAATAAGGTATTTTTTATGTATAAACTATGGTAAAAAAAAAGCTGATATCGTATAATATTAAATAAATCTTCAGTTAAACTAAGTAAGGTTATGATAATTTTAAAAATAACACTCCAAGATTTATTATAGTATTATGTATTGTACATTTAAAAAAACAAGAATAATAACAAAATAAGTAATTTAATTTTACAATCATAAATACTCTTAAATATATTTTGTATATTTTATATATTAAAATAACGAAATAATTGTATTTTATAAAGACATCAATTCAGAATAGCTAAAGAAGTGATAGTAGATGGTTATTAATTGGGTCGCTTTAATCCAAAAAATTACATACAATGGAAATTTCAACATAAAAATAAAATTACGATTTCGAGTTAGTAAACCTAATATTTGCTTAATTATTTTTTTTACATATGATTTTACCGATAGTATCGAGAAAGTTTCTTCGTCATCAATTAAACAAAGGTTTGGCCATCATTAAATTAGTGTTATCAAATCATTTTTAATATAATTTCCGTGGAACTGTATATTCACTACAGCTTCTTGTAATAAATTCAATATTCGACTATATCTCACAGTAGTCATAAAATGTGTTAAATATGAATGATTACAAACGTTTTTCATAGCGGCCATTGTGATCTTTATAAATTTAAATATTTATAACATAGAATATTTAAAAGGCATATATGCCTTTTAAATATTCAATGACAAACTAGCCCTTTTTACACGATTTTTAGAAATCGTGTTCATTCATTAATTCGTTGCAGTATTTATGAGAAAGTTAAAACCAGTTCATTTAAAGGACGAAACATCATTGATGAAATCGTAATCAGTGTAGAAATTCAAAAATTAGTTGAGAAAATTGTATCTAATAATTATCCATGCTCTTATTAAATTATTGGTTTAAATGACGCTGGTTATCTACTAGCTATTTAAAATAATTACCGAATGTTTACCAGGGGCACGCGATAATGTTCACAACACATTTTGTTTATTAATAGTTTTTCTTCTATTTTTACAAGTGAACTAAAGTTTTTTTCTCAAACAAGTATTTTAACAATGTATATTATAATTTGTTTGATCGTCAACTATCTTGCATACCTCTATACATATTTTATGATTTACTTTCCATAGCTGGTTATTGCGTATCAAGATTACAATGGAGTTATAATATTTGACAGAAATATTAATTATACTTTATTTATTTCTGAATTACTTATTAAGAAGTTGTTTTTTTTTCCATTAGAATAGAAAAAAAAAAATTATTTGTCACCTTAAATTTTAAAATTTTTTTAATAGTTTAGTATAGTGAAATTTGAATAAAATACGAAATGAAGATTATTTTAATAAATGAGAAGTAAAAGTGCCAAGCAGTAGAAAAATTGAAATGTTTTTTAATAATGATTTGTGTATATTGTGTATGTTGCTGATTTGTTTTAAAGTTATCTAACACTCAAATAGTGTAACAACTTCATATTGACCACAAAATACGTAAAATCATTGAAAAACAGTTGTACCATAAAAGTAATATTTTTACTGAATAAAAAAACGCATAAGTTTGTGGCAATAAAACAAATAGATAAATGACTGGCGCTCGAATGTAACAACTGCGTAGGACATGATAGTTGCACTGCAGAGTAAGTAGTAGGTACATCTATTGTAAGTACACACGTTTTTACGCCTACTACAAGTAATAAACATTATACAATGTTCTAGACACTTGGGAGTCGTGTGAGTAGAACATCATACAACATCAATTACAAGCGATAGAGTTGGAATTTTCTGTGAATTTAAAATTGTTATTCCTACTTTACACTACAGAAATATCTTATCAGCATGTTGACGTTGGTTTGAACCATTGGGAGGGACGAATAAAGAAATTTAAATATACTCAGATCCATCAGAATTTAATTAAACAAATAGCATAAAACTGTAAACATGTGTATGAAGAACTGCTTTAATTGAATTGTGAATTATTGTGTAATGCTTCAAAGGGGCGGTATTTTTTTCTATTTACGTTCTAACAATCCCGTTGTTATTAAATGTGACCTCTACGACGGACTAACGGCTCGTTTGCGTTGTGGGTACATAGACGAGCCGAGCTTTCTCCTAAACAGTACATACACATGTAATATATAGACATACGTCGCCTGAAGTCTGAAACCTATCCCGTGGCAGATGACCGTGTGATTATCACCGAACCGACCCGTACCTTGTGTAGGTACTATCGATCGAAATTATTGCACCGACTACGATCATAATAATAGGTGTCTTACCGTAGCCTGATATAGTATACGTCTATCTAGTGTCGACAGCCGTCTTAAATATAAATTAAAAAAAAGACAAAACAATATTGTGCTCACGTGTATATGTGTTGCATGATGTGTATTTGTGAGTCTTAAACGAGTATTCCAATTAATGGTCAATGTACGCGGAACCAGTTTCTTCTAAAGAGGCCTCCCGAAAAAATAACACACCGATTCATAGACAAATACCATTAATTTCATCCTGTTTCTTTCCAGTTCTTCAACACAACTACTGCTTTAAGGTGACGGCACTCGGCATCGAGAAGAATTAAGTGGGTCAATCCGTAGTGTATTACTCGGGAAACTGCTGAAAGGATCATTAATATGACACATTATTAATTTTTAGAACACTTTGAACGCTTTTAGTTTTAAATTTTTGTGCTAAGCGTAGAAAATTATTAGAGATAAATATTTATTTACACAATTCTATTTACACAATTTATTTTTTTATCAGTTATTAGATTACATTTAACAAAACAGTCAAATGTGCCCTGTGCACATTTAAATACCGGATATCAACTGATAAACGCGTATGCGAGTCATAACTTACTTATAACAGCATACGACGCTATCAATGTGTTGTTGGGCCAGTTTCAATAGAGATATTATATTTATATTGCTAACGCTTATATTCCCTAAAAAGTTCACACGTTTTTTAAAATATGTCTGTATTTCACGCAATAATCCTGGCTATTTTTCTGGCTATCGGCTGTGACTGCTTGCTGGTTGGGTTTGCTAGAATGGCAAAAAACGATGAAAAATGTCCGGAAGTTAGAGCAAGGAGTAATTGTGATTTGGAAGCAGTAAGAATATAATTAAGTTATTTTTTTTTTTTATGAATATTTACATGATAATCAACTTGGGTTGATCATGGGTACACGCATATATTCAATATAATTAAGTACATTAGACATATTAAGTGATAAATTATTTATATTGTACTGTGAACTGAATAACAATCAGGCTACTTTTTTTCCAAATATAGATCGATTTTTAAATAAAATAGCCCTAAATAATAATAAATGCATGTAAGGATTATACATTTATGTTTCTCAAATTTCACTTTACAACACCAATTACATAATAGAATTATCATTTAGGTAGATTTTTACATCTAGTTTAGAGTAGAAGTTATACATCATAAAGGAAAACAATGAAGGTGTTACTCCTTGGTTATTGATAGTGTTTAATTTTAAAAAATTGGTGGATTATTCCAAAAGCTACATGGTCTGCTATTTCCTTATTAATATCCTGAATGAAAAAAGGATTATTAAAAAATATTATTTCTCATAAAAAAATTGTGTTGATCCATACACTTTTCAATAAGTTATAGCATTATAAAGTTAAAAAAACCAAGCACAGGGGGATCGCGGCACAGTGGTGACGTGGCATAGTTGGATCAAGTATTATGATATCTGACAAGGATTAAAATCACTATCAAAAAAAACACTTCGATGCAAATCTTTAGATAGTGTTTAATTTTAAAAAATTGGTGTTTTATTCCAAAAACTAAATGATCTGCTAGTTTCNTCACTTTACAACACCAATTACATAATAGAATTATCATTTAGGTAGATTTTTACATCTAGTTTAGAGTAGAAGTTATACATCATCAAGGAAAACAATGAAGGTGTTACTCCTTGGTTTTTGATAGTGTTTAATTTTAAAAAATTGGTGGATTATTCCAAAAGCTACATGATCTGTTAGTTCATTATTAATATCCTGATTAAGATAAAGTATATCGAATGAAAAAGGGATTATTAAAAAATATTATTTCTCATAAAAAAATTGTGTGGATCCATACACTTTTCAATAAGTTATATCATTATAAAGTTAAATGTAAAAAATAAAATCGAGAATTTTCACACAATAATAGCATTCGCTAGCTATTTTCACCGTGAAGAAAAAATAAAGACCGAAATTTTTTTTTGCATAATAAAGTACATTACATTAGCTTTAATTTAAGATATATACAAAAATGTTAGACTTCCCGGAACACTTTAAAAAATTAAGTTTTTTATGAAAAAGTTGTCATTTTAATCCCCCCCTGTAGGCAGGTAAAAAGTCAGTTTTATAAAAAAAATATACCAACTGATAGGTAAAGACATCATGCATCTATAAAAAAAAAATTATATTGATCCATACATTTTTTAAAATATTATAGCATTATAAAGTTAAAAATATAAAAATGAATTTTTTTACAAAAATCATATTTTTTTTTATAAACTTTGATGTCTGTTTTCACCATGAAGATAAAATAAAGTCCGAAATTTTTTTTTTTTGCATAATAAAGAACATTACATTAGCTTTAATTTAAGATATACATAAAAGTGTCAGACCCTCCGGAACATTTTCAAAAGTTAAGTTGAAAAAGTTAATTTTTTGTGAAAAAGTTGTCATTTTAAATCCCCCCTTGTGGGCAGGTTAAGAGTTTATGAAAAAAATATACCAAATGAAAGGTAATGATATTATGCATCCATATAAAAAAGAATTATATTGATATGTTCATTTTTGAAAAAGTTATTGCACATTTTAGTAAAAAAAATTTCAAAAATTTCAAAAATTAGCGATTTTTAAATTTGTAATTTTTTTGGAGGTTTCCCCTATTTACGGGGAACGAGAGAATTTTTTTCAATTTTTGAGGATAATGTCTTCGACTAGATANATTTTTTTCAATTTTTGAGGGTAATGTCTTCGACTAGATACGATTTGTGATCTTTTGACGTATCGTTGAAAGAAATCCGTTCGGTGCGAGCTGAGAAAAAGTGGTAACAGACACAAAAAAAATAAAAAAATAAACACATCTTAGTAAAACCAATACCTTCTCAGCTTCACATCGAAGCTAAAATGTAAAAAATAAAATCGAGAATTTTCACACAAAAATAGCATTTGGTAACCATTTTCACCATGAAGATAAAATAAAGTCCGAAATTTTTTTTTTTCACAATAAAGTATATTACATTAGCTTTAATTTAAGATATACATAAAAGTGTCAGACTTTCCGGAACACTTTCAAAAGTTAAGTTGAAAAAGTAATTTTTTTGTGAAAAAGTTGTCATTATGAATCCATCCCTGTAGTCAGGTAAAGGGTTAGATTTATAAAAAAAAATATAACAAATGATAGGTAAAGACACCATGCATCTATAAAAAACAAATTATATTGATATGTTCATTTATGAAAATGTTATGGCAGTTTTTAGTAAAAAAAATTGAAATAATGGCGAAAATTAGTGATTTTTAAATTTGTAATTTTTTTGGAGGTTTCCCCCATTTACGAGGAACGAGGGAAATTTTTTCAATTTTTAAGGGTAATGTCTTCAATAAGATACGATTTGTGATATTTGGACGTATTATTGAAAGAAATTCGTTCGGTGAGAGCTGAGAAAAAATGGTAACAAACACAAAAAAAAACCTTCTTAGCTTCGCATCAAAGCTAAATATAAAGGCGCAATTTTTGTTAATTCTCGCAAATTCGAACATGACTTATCAAATAGTAACACCAACATGAAACATTTAATACTTTAGTTTAGTCGATAAATTTTGATACACATTAATATTTTACTCATTATTGTGTTATTACATAATCTTAAATATTAATTTTTAGGTAATAAGCACAATTGAAATTTTAAATTTTTGTTTGAAATATTCCTTTTCAAAACCGACTCAATTACTCACAAAATAAGTTCAACATTGAAAAAAATGTTTTCTTTTCTTTTATGAACGTTAATTTTGGTGAAGTTTAGTTGCCTCCCCTTTGACTTTTTGCTTGGTCAATTTTCATAATCATTGTGCGTTATAATTTTTTTTTAATTAAAAGAAATAAAACTATATTTATTAAATTATGTTATGAATTAAAGATTAAGAGCATTTTTTTTATAAATAAATTTGGTTTTTATCTATTAAATTTTTAAAGACACTTAATTTTATATATAATACATTAAACTACCAAAAAATCTGTTATTTACATTTTATTCTATCAGACTCATAGCGCTTATTAGAATAACATTTTTGAGGATGATGATTGTAATTTTTTAACTTACGCTAAAAATAATATACATGTATATGATAACATACATAATGTTTAAAAATATTTGAGAGTTAATTCTAATCATTTCTAAGAATTGCGTCTATTGCGAGTTCTTCAAAAAAGTGGTTGAGGATTTTGGTCATCCCCTTCATTAATAGGTCATTATGCGCATAGTGAGAGCAAATATTTAAAAAAATATTTTGTTCCCCATGAAATATTTTTGCAGATGTTTTTGGTTTCTTATAATTACATAGATTTCATGATTTTTAAATTATTAATTACTTGTAGCTTCGATACGAAGTTGAGATGGTATTAATTTTACTATGTTGTGTTTTTTATATTATTATTATTATTTTTGTGTCTGTTACCATTTTTTCTTAGCTCTCACATAACCGATTTCTTTCAACGATACGTCAAAGATCACAAATTGCATCTAGTCAAATGCATTATCCTCAAAAATTGAAAAAAATTCCCTCGTTCTCCGTAAATAGGAGAAATCTTCAAAAATATTACAAATTTAAAAATCGCTAATTTTCAACATTGTTACAATTTTTTTACTTAAAAATGCCATAACTTTTTTGACCAAATTAATATAATTTTTTAGCTTCGATGCGAAGCTGAGAAGGTATTGGTTTTACTAAGATGTGTTTTTTTTTTTTTTGTGTTTGTTACCATTTTTTCTCAGCTCTCACCGAGAAAGTTTATTGTGTGAAAGTTCTCGATTTTATTTTTTACATTTTTTTAACTTTATAATGCTATGACATATTGAAAAGTGTATGGATCAACATTATTTTTTGTATGAGAAATAATATTTTTTAATAATCCTTTTTTCATTCGACATACTTTATCTTAATTAGGATATTAATAATGAACTAGCCGTTTATGAAGCTTTTGGAATAATCCACCAATTTTTTAAAATTAAACACTATCTAAAGATTTGCATCGAAGCGTTTTTTATGATTGTGATTTTAATCACTGTCAGATATCATTATACTTGATCCATCTATGCCACGTCACCACTGTGCCGCGACCCCCCTGTGCTGGGTTTTTTATAGATACATCAGGTATTTACCTATCATTTGGTATATCTTTTATATAAATCAGATCTTTTACCTATCCACAGAGGAGTTATTTAAAATGACAACTTTTTCAACTTAACTTTTGAAAGTATTCCGGAAGTACTGACATTTTTATATATATATATCTTAAATTAAAGCCAAAATTTCGGACTTTATTTCGTCTTCGCGGTGAAAATAATCATCGTATGGTATTTTTGTGTTAAAATTCTCGACAAAAAATTATTTTTATATTTTTAACTTTATAATGCTATAACTTCATGAAAAATGTATGGATCAATATAATTTGCTTTTTAAAGATGCATGGTGTCTTTACCTATCATTTGTTATATTTTTTTTTATAAATCTAACCCTTTACCTGACTACAGGGATGGATTCATAATGACAACTTTTTTACAAAAAATTTACTTTTTCAACTTAACTTTTGAAAGTGTTCCGGAAAGTCTGACACTTTTATATATATCATAAATTAATGCTAATGTAATGTACTTTATTATGGAAAAAAAAAAAATTTCGGACTTTATTTTTTCTTCACGGTGAAAATAGCTAGCGAATGCTATTATTGTGTGAAAATTCTCGATTTTATTTTTTACATTTTTAACTTTATAATGCTATGACATATTGAAAAGTGTATGGATCAACATTATTTTTTGTATGAGAAATAATATTTTTTAATAATCCTTTTTTCATTTGACATACTTTATCTTAATTAGGATATTAATAATGAACTAGCCGTTTATGAAGCTTTTGGAATAATCCACCAATTTTTTAAAATTAAACACTATCTAAAGATTTGCATCGAAGCGTTTTTTATGATTGTGATTTTAATCACTGTCAGATATCATTATACTTGATCCATCTATGCCACGTCACCACTGTGCCGCGACCCCCCTGTGCTGGGTTTTTTATAGATACATCAGGTATTTACCTATCATTTGGTATATCTTTTATATAAATCAGATCTTTTACCTATCCACAGAGGAGTTATTTAAAATGACAACTTTTTCAACTTATCTTTTGAAAGTATTCCGGAAGTACTGACATTTTTATATATATATATCTTAAATTAAAGCCAAAATTTCGGACTTTATTTCGTCTTCGCGGTAAAAATAATCATCGTATGTTATTTTTGTGTTAAAATTCTCGACAAAAAATTATTTTTATATTTTTAACTTTATAATGCTATAACTTCATGAAAAATGTATGGATCAATATAATTTGCTTTTTAAAGATGCATGGTGTCTTTACCTATCATTTGTTATATTTTTTTTTATAAATCTAACCCTTTACCTGACTACAGGGATGGATTCATAATGACAACTTTTTTACAAAAAATTTACTTTTTCAACTTAACTTTTGAAAGTGTTCCGGAAAGTCTGACACTTTTATATATATCTTAAATTAAAGCTAATGTAATATCCTTTTTTGTGAAAAAAAAAAATTTCGGACTTTATTTTATCTTCACGGTGAAAATGGCTACCGAATGCTATTATTGTGTGAAAGTTCTCGATTTTATTTTTTACATTTTTTTAACTTTATAATGCTATGACATATTGAAAAGTGTATGGATCAACATTATTTTTTGTATGAGAAATAATATTTTTTAATAATCCTTTTTTCATTCGACATACTTTATCTTAATTAGGATATTAATAATGAACTAGCCGTTTATGAAGCTTTTGGAATAATCCACCAATTTTTTAAAATTAAACACTATCTAAAGATTTGCATCGAAGCGTTTTTTATGATTGTGATTTTAATCACTGTCAGATATCATTATACTTGATCCATCTATGCCACGTCACCACTGTGCCGCGACCCCCCTGTGCTGGGTTTTTTATAGATACATCAGGTATTTACCTATCATTTGGTATATCTTTTATATAAATCAGATCTTTTACCTATCCACAGAGGAGTTATTTAAAATGACAACTTTTTCAACTTAACTTTTGAAAGTATTCCGGAAGTACTGACATTTTTATATATATATATCTTAAATTAAAGCCAAAATTTCGGACTTTATTTCGTCTTCGCGGTGAAAATAATCATCGTATGGTATTTTTGTGTTAAAATTCTCGACAAAAAATTATTTTTATATTTTTAACTTTATAATGCTATAACTTCATGAAAAATGTATGGATCAATATAATTTGCTTTTTAAAGATGCATGGTGTCTTTACCTATCATTTGTTATATTTTTTTTTATAAATCTAACCCTTTACCTGACTACAGGGATGGATTCATAATGACAACTTTTTTACAAAAAATTTACTTTTTCAACTTAACTTTTGAATGTGTTCCGGAAAGTGTGACACTTTTATATATATCATAAATTAATGCTAATGTAATGTACTTTATTATGGAAAAAAAAAAAATTTCGGACTTTATTTTTTCTTCACGGTGAAAATAGCTAGCGAATGCTATTATTGTGTGAAAATTCTCGATTTTATTTTTTACATTTTTAACTTTATAATGCTATAACTTATTGAAAAGTGTATGGGTCAACATAATTTTTTTATGGGAAATAATATTTATATCCCTTTTTCATTCTACATACTTTAACTTAATCAGAATATTAATAAGGAAATAGTAGATCATGTTGCTTTTGAAATAATCCACCAATTTTTCAAAATTAAACACTATCTAAAGATTTGCATCGAAGCGTTGTTTTGATAGTGATTTTAATCACTGTCAGATATCAACCCAACCTTCAGCACAAGTGTGCAACACATTTTTCATTCTTCATATTGCAAATAAGTAAACTTTGGCTAGAATTAGATAAATTGGGGGAGATCGCCCATAGCTTATTTATCATCAGGATCATTTTACTATCCTTATTTTATACCCCCAGAATGTAAAAGAAAAAGTATTCCTAACCAGTTTGATACGTAACAAAATTGTTTTTGTTTAAATTTTTCTTAAATATTTCAAATTGAAGTATAATGATGATAACTTGCGAAATATACGTTTATATAGTTTTAATTATGTTATTTAGAATAGTTTTTGCATTTTATGTAATTTACACAAAGAATTTTATAATTTTTTTTTTTTGTACATATTTTTGCACATTTTTATACAATTTTACACATCTAACACATATTTAATTGCACTTTCGAAGGCCAATATTTTAAATGTTAGTTCAACTGTCGTTCCACAATATGGCATCTGTATCATTTCATAAAATTTGCTTATATCATAATATAAACTTCTTATATATAATAAAAATGATAATGGTATCCTGATTTATATAAAATATGTAATATAATATATATAATATTACGATATAATAAGATTAGTATAAAATGATAATGAAAAATGTGCATATCAAACCGATAGTAGTTAAATATGATTTGAAGTAACGTTTGTACAATACTGTTTAAATATATCAAAGGCATGAAAAAAACCTCCTTAAGTCATTATAATTTCACACATTAACATTCACTCAATTAGATAGTATATATCTAAGATAATCTTATTACATTTTCTATTTCTATGGTATATTTAAGTAAATGCATTTTTAAGGCTTCTTAAATTATATGCATTTCTAAGGCTTCTTAAAATATTTGCATTTCTAAGGCTTCTTAAAATATATGCATTTTTAAGGCTTCTTAAAATATATGCATTTCTAAGGTTTCTTAAAATATATGCATTTCTAAGGTTTCTTAAAATATGTGCATTTCTAAGGTTTCTTAAAATATGTGCATTTCTAAGGTTTCTTAAAATATGTGCATTTCTAAGGTTTCTTAAAATATGTGCATTTTTAAGGCTTCTTAAAATATGTGCATTTTTAAAGCTTCTTAAAATATATGCATTTTTAAGGTTTCTGAAAATATGTGCATTTCTAGGGCTTCTTAAAATATATGCATTTCTAAGGTTTCTTAAAATATATGCATTTCTAAGGTTTCTTAAAATATGTGCATTTCTAAGGTTTCTTAAAATATGTGCATTTCTAAGGTTTCTTAAAATATGTGCATTTCTAAGGTTTCTTAAAATATGTGCATTTTTAAGGCTTCTTAAAATATGTGCATTTTTAAAGCTTCTTAAAATATATGCATTTTTAAGGTTTCTGAAAATATGTGCATTTCTAGGGCTTCTGAAAATATATGCATTTCTAAGGTTTCTTAAAATATATGCATTTCTAAGGTTTCTTAAAATATGTGCATTTCTAAGGTTTCTTAAAATATGTGCATTTCTAAGGTTTCTTAAAATATGTGCATTTCTAAGGCTTCTTAAAATATGTGCATTTTTAAGGCTTCTTAAAATATGTGCATTTTTAAAGCTTCTTAAAATATATGCATTTTTAAGGTTTCTGAAAATATGTGCATTTCTAGGGCTTCTGAAAATATATGCATTTCTAAAGTTTCTTAAAATATGTGCATTTCTAAGGTTTCTTAAAATATGTGCATTTCTAAGGCTTCTTAAAATATGTGCATTTTTAAGGCTTCTTAAAATATATGCATTTTTAAGGTTTCTTAAAATATGTGCATTTCTAAGGCTTCTTAAAATATGTGCATTTTTAAGGCTTCTTAAAATATATGCATTTCTAAGGCTTTTTAAATTGTATGCATTTTAAAATACGTATTAACCTAAAAGTGCTCTCATGAAATATACAAAAAATTGCATTAGTAATTTTTCATTATAAGGATAAAAAATTTTTAATTTTTAATGTGTACACTAAATAAGTCTTAAGATATAAAAATAGAAAGTATATAAAATTACAATTAGTTTTTGAACTGAAAATTAATATAAAATAATTTTTTCCAAAAAATTATCTTTCAGTTAATGTGAACAAAAATAAGATTGCGAGGATTTTACACTACTTTTCACATCTTTACACGATTTTCACAACTCTAACAACTTGTTACTAATGTTACATAATTTTTACATATTATCATTATTTTATTTTTTTCTTCTTCATGTCGCTCATTTTGGTCGTTGAATTGTTTTACTAGGGAAAGGTTTAAATTCAGTTATTTCTCGTTTTCTTCTGTATTGGGGTTTTTTGCCATAGCAAAATCGCCTATATAGTCATATAGTCTTAAATGTACAGTGGCACGCGCAGCTTAATACTAGAATTTATCAGCAACTAATGTGCCTAATTCGTTCCACACTATACCCAATAAGTTTTATACTTTCTTGTTTTCTATAAACTCTAAAAAGAAATTTTATTTTATTCTTTCAGTATTTAATAATTTTTTTCTCATTTTGAAAAATGATATTTTCTAATTCCATTTGATATCCCGATTCTGAATATTTTAATTTATTCTGATGTGCTAATTGTGATTAGCACACCTCTTATATGAGAGATTAAAGAAAATGATATAACTTTGACGGTTATTATTTAACTATTAATTATTTCAATGTTTTGTAAAGATTAAAGGTACGTGGAATGTAATTGATTATTACGCTAGTTCTGAAGAAGCCCAAATCTATAGGTGTATGAGATCCACATTTAATTTATCTCCGGATGTGCCAGAATTATCTATGAACTTTACTTATAGTTACATGGATGATCCAGAGAACGAACAATTGTCTGGTAACATCACTTGGCATATTCCAGACATAGGACAGCCCGGGCATTGGATACACATGGAGACACCATGTAAGACCTAAACTATGTTTAATTTATGTATATATATGTATATCAGTGTAAATCCTTTATAATAATCAACCTATGATATTTCAACTTCTTTTTTAATCTTATGGGCAGATGAAGGTGTTTATAACACATACGTGTTGGACTGTAAAGAAACGTGGGCTGTACTATTACATTGTGCCGAAAAACCATCAAGTCCTCGATATTTATCTACCATACTCTTGTCCAGAGAAAAGACGGTACCAAATAATGTACGTAGCTATGTGCACGGAAAACTGCCTAAGTACGGCGTTCAGCTCGAATACATGTTCCCGATGGTCCAGGGCGACTGTAGCCCGACACAGAATCCGTTGTATTATGCGACTAAAGTATCAGCAAAGAAGGTCAAACACCCAATGTTGCACAAACATAAAAATGGCGAAGCGGATACGCATATTCAAAATTAATAAATTTGCCCTAACCGAATACGTAAACGTTTAATGTCACCGACTCACGTATATTCAAATAATTTAAACGAAAGTGATTCCACCACTCTGCCGAATTGCCGCAACATTGTATTAATTGGAAACGGATTTTCAACGGTATCCGTTCGGTGTAAAATATTTATAAAATTGTGTGACACGTATACGATACTAATAAAATATGTATATATTTTTTAGAAAAACATTTTTCAGTAATGCAACGGTTACAGTTTCAAAAATCAATTCCTTAGAAATTATTATATTTATAAAAAATGAATTGAAGAATTGTAATGAGAATTTTCTTAAAACTTCATATATCTCACTGAAAAATTAATCTAAATGTTATTGTATTAATAATAAAATAAAAAATTCAAAAGATTCTAATTATGAGTCTTAGTATATAACATGTACATAATGTTTAACTTCTAAACAGTTTAAGAACAATATATTTATATTTATTTTAAGTTGTTTGCCCAAACAATTATTCTCGAATGAATAATTAAGTGAAAGTTCAGAAGGCAGTAAACTTATGACCCTCAAAGTAAAAGATGTAGGGAAATTAATACTCTTTTAATTTTGGAAAATACACCAATTCTTCGTCCTAACTTACGTCCTTCATCAATTCTAACTTCAGTCTACATCAACTAACTTTCTAGTTACAATAAATAAATGAAAAGATATTTTACATAAAGCATTTCATCACGAAAAAATACGAATAGCGAAAGATTATAATCATCAAGATAAAAAAAAAATGCTAGTCGTCTTTATGTCTAGTGCGAGTCACAGTTGAATACATACTGTAACATGAGTTTAGATATTCCATTAATGTATTTTAAACAGACATTAATAGCAGGCGCGTACATCACTGTTATAAAGATATTACGATGACGGTCATAGTAAGTACTTAATTGGAGAGTTCAATTAATTATTTGTGTTCAATGTATCTGATAATTTAAATAGTATGCAAATACTTAATCTGATCGGGAAATTGTTTTAATAATATACATACAAACCTATATAGATAAATACATATGTGATCTTTTTTAGAATTGTAATTAGTAAAACTGTAACACGCGGATATGGGTGTGTGTGATCTTGTTAGTCGGTTTTGACACAGCTGGTGGGTTCGCCTTATATTACATACACTGTTAATCAATAGAGTACTAATAAACGAACAGTCGCGCTTTAAAATAACTGGAAAGCGCTCTGCCGTGTAAAGATAGAGTAGTTACTATGGGTACACACTTTCGTGTGTGTGGTCTCGATTAAAATATAATTGTAAATGTATCAATGGTTCATTAATATAATATATAATATATTATCCCTTCTTAAATTATTTTTCGTTTCACACATACGGATAAAAATTGTATATATCCATTAAGGAAGTGGTTTTGGTAAGCTCCTGACGGCGTTATTTTCCTTTCGCTTCTGATTTAGATATATATTATCAACAATGCGTTCAATTGTCATACCAAAAATGGGGGTAACCGCACTATTAGCTCGATGAAAAACTTGCAAGTGATTAGTAAGGGGGGGAGCACAAACAATTCAGCCCGAAGTCTTGACGTTTCATGTATACCCGTGTATATGCGCGAGCAAGTAAAGAAGAAGATAAAGATGACGATAGAAGTGGGTCACGGGGTCGACCTGCCCGGTGGAATGCAGACTGACCACCCCTCCCACCCAAGGTGCTTTCCCTCGTACTCATATACCCGATATAGCAACTTCCCCGTCGAATTTGTCTAGGAGGGGAGATACGTAACAACTACAGTGGGACTGTGATTATCAAAATTGCGCGTGAATCCTGAGTATGCTTGTTCGACGTAGAGTGAGACTTATCCCTTTCATTTAATCCACTGCGGTCCGACCCTGACCGGAACTGCAACATTTCAACGTTGCTTGGGTCGTCAAATGAGAGAGAACGTGTGCCGTCGCCTCGGGACTATCGAACCGTGGCGGTCGTGAAACCGGCACACATCACGTTGAGCACGAGTCTGCTTGCAATTAACTACTGTAAAACCACCACTGGGATAACCTAAGTCTAGAGTATATAAATCTAATAATACTAACAATAACATTAAAAGTTGTCAATATAAAATTAATTATAATATATAATTTCTTTATAAGTTACCTGCTTAAGTCGAAATTAGAGGTTTAGATTTATTTGTTTTTTATTTATTTTTATTTATTATTTTAGGGTTTTTATTTATTAATGTATCATAATGACAATAAAATTTAGCAATTAAAAAATAAGCTTAATTTTCAATTAAAAAAAAAGAAGATATTTAGACTTCCACTTTAACTAGTCATCAATTTCCAGTGGAAAATCTATATATTATAGAAAAACATTAACACATATTTTTTCTTAAATTTTTTTCTTTCTCCATTTTTAAACACATTAAATTTTCTGTTTTCGATATGAAAACAGCGATTTCTCAGGAATTATTAATATATACTTTATAAATTCCAGACCTTAAGTCAGTAGTTAAAACAGATTGTTTTGCTGACACTATGTCAGTAAAACAATCTAAAATATAATTTAAAATTCTGGATCTTCAAGATTAGAATTTATAAATAATAATAATAATAATAATACTAAGTTTGGAAAATGTATATTAATTGTTAAATTAACAATAAAATAGCCGTTCAGCCGTCAAAAAGTTAAGCATAAAATTAAACTTCTTATACAATCATTTAATATAATATTTTTTTAATAGTTACTATTAATAAAATAAAATATAAAATGAGTATATATTTAATTTAACACATTTTATTTTTCAAAAACTTAAACTGTAAACACATAATCATGAATGAAGTTGAAACTATTAATTGATAAAATATCGAATTAAAAAATATCCATTGACTTTATTAAGTTATTTAAATACATATGTTTAAAATTCTTAAAAAGTATAGTGTTCATAGCTAATAGATAAAGGGATTTCCATTCGCGAGTGATTTGATAGATTTGTACAACCGAATTATTATTGTTCATTTATTTTGGCTTCAAATTGTCTTAGTCTTCATGTCAATGACCTACTCGTTGTATATGCTTAGAACATATCGGGAGTTATTGTATAGAAAGCGGAGCGAAGATGAAAGCCATAACTACCATAATAATTACTGTCGATTACATGAATATCACAAACGGAATTTTGCTACTAACCTTTTAAATGAAAATGAATGAATCTTGTTTTATAACGTTCTGTCTTCCTTGTCAAAGTTTTATATGCCACTTGTTTAACTAAAATTAAACAAAGTAGTAAATTTTAATAATAGTTGTTACTTTATGAGTAATTGTGATATACTCAGCATATTTTAAGAAAAGTTTTGACGAGTGTGTATCTATTTAAATATTTATAAAACTTTCAAAAACTTAAAGTTGAAGAGGAAGCTTTAACTCATTTATTCTTTCTATATCAATATCTATTCTATATCAATATCTATGTATGAATGGAGGAGCTTCTGTTTAGCAGCGTTGGGCCTAAATGATCTCCAATAAGCTGAAAAAGAAGTATATCTATGTACTGAATAAGTGTAAAATAACAACAAAATAATATTATTACTATGTGAAACATACAAGTATACAATTGAATATTTTGTGAGATATTTTGTATGGTTCACGTATTTATAAGGACTCAAAAGACTTTAGCACTCTACCCCAAATTTTATGTGATCTATTTTTTTACTGAAATTAGTATTTAAAAAGTATGTATATAAAAAAAAGGATTTTTTTTTCAGCTTCCTTAAAAATTTTAAGTATGCACCAACAATACTATGATTAAATATAACTAATTATAAAGTCGCAATATGAGCTTTGAGTTTGATATTTTTTCAATAAGATAGTTATTGTTTATTAATACGAATAAGCAATAGTGGAACATGTATATCTTGACAGAGGCATCATAAGAGTATTATGTTTTATTGCTACATAAAAATTGAAAAAAAAAAAACAAAAATACCACGTATGTACTTGAAACATAAATCATTTTTTCAACAAAATTTAAAAAGGCTTTTTTGAAAAAATGTGTCATTATTATTAATTTTTTTTTTTTTTGATATTTTTGAATCCATTTTTATAATTAAAAACATGTATAATTAACGTAAAAAACATCAGCATATTTTTCTACGCTTTAAACATTTAGAATGAAGTACTTTGTAAAGATTAAATTCAACGAACGAATTAGTAATAACGTTTCAAATATTAATTTTGATTGAAAAATATACCATTTTGGAAAGTTATCATAAAAAATAATTTTTAGTTATTTCAGATTTATAGCAAGGAAACTTGGACTAAGAATAAGTTACAAACATAGTTTGGAATTAAGATAAAGGTCTGGGTACAATGGTCTAAATAACTGCGAAGACAAAAAAATAGCTTAAATATGATATCTACAGTGTTTAAAATAAACTAATTAATTAAACTAGCCTTAGAAATATTATACAAAATACGGGTAAATCTTTATTTGGTGTTATTTAAAGACAAGTGAAGATTTAACTAGAAATCACTTAACATTTAAAGGTAGTCCAGCTTTTATAGGCGATTAAATCTCTTTCTTGCAGCTACATGAATACGGTTTATTACATAGTGTATGATTAATGGCTTATCTTCAAGAGAGTAATTTAAGTACATGATAGATATATATTTCCTAAAAGTGTAAATAGGTTCTGCAATTTCTCTAAGATGACTGTATGAATTATTGTTAGGATTTTTTTAAGGAAAAATGGATCTAATTAAGTAATTTTTTTCTATTTTCGTTACGGACAAAATGGTTTGAAAAAACAAAACTTTTCTCTAAAAAGCTTTTTTACACAATTGTGTGTAATTAGTTGTGTACAGATTCCTATATTGTTGTATTATTGTTTATATCATTGAAGTATCGACTACTTTCTTGAAAGTGTCCAAATATCGTACGTATCGTTATCAGGCCAGATCTGTATGAATTACATATGATACGTGTAATACAAAATTTGTAGGGATAGCGTTGGAGAGAGAGTGAGAGAAACAACTAAGGAGGGGAAGATGCTTGCACTCAGCAGACTAATTGCTATGCGGGCTTTGATGAAACCAGACCATCCGACTTGTTCCTGTTGAGGTCTAGGTCATGACCAAGTGGCCGTTGGGGAAAGGAGAGGGGCACTAGAACACGTTGTCGCCGATTCGATATCATCATCGGCTCCTGCAAAGCCACCGGATACTAAGAGATGGATGGATCTCATTGATCCTTTCTTCTTGCCGGCCGCTAGTTTTCGATCACTAATCGTCTTGAAACCGTCGCGTCAACTTGTTCGGTCAAATTTGTGGTTAACATAATTAGTGATTTTAGAATAACATTTTCGCAAACCAATTTTTGCCGAACGATTTACAAGTGCGTTTTTATTGAATATTTCAAAACGGTATACACGTTTCCTAGGCAATACTATTCATATTTTAAGGTAAGATAATATTAATATTTTTAATTTATTCAACCGATAAAAGCTTTTAATTTTTACAATAATTTTACTCATATTTCATTTATAAAATATTGAATTGTCAATAAAATCTAGATAAATTTTATTTTTTCATTACAAACTTTTATACCAAGAGACTTTAATACATTTTTATTACCATAACTTTATACATAAAGTTTACCTACAGCAGGCTAAAGGATAATTGATATGTTAATTAATAAAAAAGATTTATACAATAAATTCATGAAGTGGAGTGGAGTAAATATAAACGAATGGGGTAATAGTAAGTTCATTTTTGCTCTTGAAATTTTTAGCAAATTTTATTTTAAATTGGAAATTTTATCATATTAAATATAAGTTCAAAATAAAAATTTGTACAATTTACTAAAAAATGCATTTATAGTTACCTTACATTACACATATATCTTAAAATACAGAGTTAAACTTAGTTAGGTGATATTGCTGATTAAAATAATAACCATTCAAAACAATTCCAAACATCTTCTAAAATTATAAATTATCAACCAATTTAAACGAAATCTGCTATTTAAAAACTTACTACGATTCCAAAAATCTAAGTATACATCAAGCTTTCTAAATCGATGTTCGGTTGTTAAGAAATTATATAGATTTTTGCCCGTGCAATTTTTTTAACAATATAACTAATAACTGTTTAAATATTATTTTGATTATAATTATTATTTTTTAAACTGTCATATCTCGAATGAAAGAACACGTGTTCAATTTGACATTCATTTAATATTTATATGTAAATATTATGATGCGGTCTTTTGCGTTGGAGTAAAATGCATTTGTAGGTGTTACCAGAGACTTAAATTAGTTACGCGTGGAAAGAGTTTGCATTTCATATATATAACGATTTAGTAAAGTGAAATATAATATTATGATAATCGATCCATTAACAAGAGCAATCATCAGGTCGCGTGAAATTAGTACACAACATGCATGAACAGTACCGCAGCTTTTGAATCGTAATAGTATGAGCGCAATTTTTATATTAAAAAGGAAATGCAATTAGCTTTCGAGTATTATATTTGTACATAAATCAAGCAGTATTAAATTATGGTTTTTATTGTTGTGCGCTATTTGTGCATGTAGCGTTTGTCTGTTATTATTTACTTCGCGGTTAATGTAATTATATTTATCACAATCGACGCCATGATTAGAATAATAACAGTTAAAGTTTTCGAATGTCGTGCTTTGATCAACCGTTATCTATCTCAAATTTACACTGTAACCTTACAGTGTCATAGCATTACCCGTGTTGACAGAATTTTGTAAATACTAATGCAAATGCTAACGGTATTAGCCACTGTATCACTATTTTTCTTTAAATAACCAACGGCAATGCTCTATTCGTAAAAACTCGTATGAATTCGTTTACACGCTAAATTTATTGTACGTATCGTATTTTGGTATCCAAAAACAGGTTTGCACATAATTAATACCCGTATAAATTTATTTAATTTTTTATTTTCTCGCTACTCAGCATCCAACTCGGAATTAACATTTCCCAATCTCTCCGTAAAATAATATTATACTCTATTATAAAACAATAACAAAAATATTGTTATAATGTTGAGGTATAATGTCATTGTACCTTGTAGCCTATCACCAGTGGGTTTTGCTCGTGTAAAGTGACAGTCGTCAATGATTTTATTATCAGTCAGAGTTAGAATTTTCGACGAGGCTTTCAAATCTAAATACGATTGGTTTATGATGTATGGATTTTGACATTCGGCTGATTTCTTTGTTAACCTTTACTCGTACAATACAATGCAATAATTTATTAAAAATTTTATAATAAAAAAAAATGTCTAATTAATAGCACGCGGTTCCCAATCATTTTAGCCACGCGGACGACGAATTTGACCTATTCTCGATAATTTTTCGCTCGTCAAAAGTGAAAACAGAACGAGTCAGTACGTTGAACTTTCAAAGTATCGCGTATATAATATAAAGTAAAAGAAAGTTGTGCGTTGTTATGCGAAAAAGTCAAACGGTCGTCTCTACACAGCAACCCAATCAGACGGATTACGTATGCACAGTCACGTAAATGGGAGAGGACCGAAAGAAAGATAGACGAGGACAAAGCACAATGCGTATAAGTACACATCATGTTAACGACGTACTTCGAGATGGACAATTGTTGAGGCGGTCTCGTTTCATACTATTAAGTCAGCACCCGATGACACGTGCGTATTGACTGTTGACCCAGTGCAGTATTAAGTACCTACTTTTTTTAACTGCGTCTAAACTGCAGTTAATTTCAAGTCTTTTACCGTGTACAACACTACGAAACCATCATATACTCGTTGCATTTGTTGTGTACATAACAGAAACTCTTTTATAATTTTAATTTTTTTGGTCGGCTTGAATGAATCGACAATGGGACGGTCATTCATCGGTCCAGCGTGCGAACCGAATACAAGTTACAGAGTATTCAATTGACGTATCGAGTTTTGTTTCACTTCTCGTTGTAAGATAGTATAGTGCATCGATAATTTCAGTCGAGCATATTTATATTGACCACCTTTGGCTGGTACATTTTTATAAAATTACATAGCCGACTGGAGTAAACTTGAATTTCATTTATAGGTCACAATTTAGATTAGTACCACGGTGACGTACAATGCTAATATACTAGTAATAGTAGCCTAGTATCGTATAAAAATCGATCATATATAAATTTGGCCTAGAAATCCGGGAGAAGGTGGTCAAACAATAATCTGGTAATTCGCGTCCATCGTTTTTAGTTTTGTCGTGGCTACAGTAATCAATGCGTCTAACTCGCGTTCGTTTATATCACCTGTTCGAAATCACTGTAATTATGTTGTATTGTACCTAATATTTTATAATCTGTAACGGCCAAAAAACGACAGTAACATTAGTTGAGTTGAGAGTTGTAATAAAATCGCACTTGTCGTTGGATTAACTGATCCAAATGGATGTTGCCGTAAGCGTTTTTTCCTTAGGTCGGTGTCTACAGTGATACGATAAATTACCTGTATTACCATAAAACAATAATAACGTTCAAAAAAACGTATATCACATTTGATGAGTGGTAGTTTGTGGTTATCATATGATTTTACGTTAAATGTACAATAACACAGTAACCCAGTACGATAGGTATGTGGAGAGAGAAGAGTCGATCATATAAAACGATTTTCTCATTTTTTTTTTCACGTGAACCGCTGCCGCCGCTGACCCACTCAGCGGTTAAAACCGGATTTCCTAAGTTCTTAGGCCACCACGACGGGCCTCGATTTATAAAATCATTATTAAAAACAAATTACGGAAATTGAGTGCGGGTTCCTCTAATGCTAAAAAAAGCTACAGTCGTTGGTATCTGTGAAAGTTTAACAATAACGATATTAACAATGTTATGATGAACAACTCTTTTACATGTACGACTGGCTTGTAAATATAATATGAATGTATTGTTGCTGCAACGATGACTTACGCGTGCAAGAAAAAAAAATTAATAATTTACACACTTGACAGTGTGTCACTAGTGCAGTACATCATATGGTTTTTCTATCGGCTAACAGGATAAATATATATATATATATATATAATGTACCATTATTATATTTTTATGTAGGTAAACTTATACATGTATAGTTAGTAGAGACGATCAATGTTAAAACCGGAATCGACAGTTTCCTTTTTCCTACACATAAATGCTTTAATACAAATATATTTATACCGGACCAACCATACAAGTACACAAAAGTAGGTAGCTCAGAGTGCAATAAAGCTGTTGACTTTTTATATTTTTCCGGATTAGTCTAAAGACAAATACACTTTAGATGTGAATTATCACCGCATCAAATTACTTTTAACATAAAAATTATTACAATCGTTGTCATACTAGTGAGTTTGAACTAGACCTCTGTTTGTATTCTTCCGATCGGTATTTCTTATATTCAATGCTAAAATGTCATAACCTTTTCATTTTACTTTCACTATTCTAAAACGACCCGATCACAGTGCATAAAAATCTCGAAGCTATTCACGTTAAAATATGCATGCATTGTATTTAATCAAATCCTATTAATGAGATGAATGTTTTTATTCTTTTTCAGGTTTATCATAAACAATAGCAACATGATATTAAGACTGCCACTGTTATTGTGTGCGTTGCTAGCATTCAGCGTGAGTAATAATAATAATATAATAATATTTTTTAAAATAATTGTTTAAATTGGGAAGCCTTAATCGGCGTTGAAGTCTCTGTAATCTGACAACCAGTCTATTGATCTGGTTAACGATACCGTACGCTGCAAATGACACGTTCATTACAACTTTATACATACTTATATGATCACTGGGTTTCTGGACTATATGCTTTTTATGGTTAAGTTACCATACTCGGCCTTTACCGTTACTGAGTATTATCAATTACAAGTAAAACAATACGCATTTTATATTTTCGAGTTATTTTTTTATAACACAAATAATTTAATACTTTACGACATTAGCGATTGTTTTTGTTAAATATTTTTTAGTTAAATTTAAAATGATTTAACTGTCATCTACGATGAATTTAACCAAATAATATTAAAAAAAAAAACTTATACATTTTGTTTCAGATGGCCGAAGAAGTAGACGTGATTGAAGCGGTTTCAGGCACTCAACAAGCAATCGATGACCTTTTAGAAACTGACCAAAAACATCAATCAGCGCCAGTATCGGCTCAGAACCGAGAAGATGCTGAATCACATAACTCAGATCAGTTGGCTGAAGAAACGGGTGAAGTTGGTGATCAAGACACTTCTGGATCTATTCCAAAACACAATTTCCTCAAGCCCCAATCCGCTCCTTCTCGCGGTCATCCGTCTTTAAACCGTGGTCCATCACCACCCCCACCATCTGGTAAATATCACCATAATGTAGTATACCATGGACCACCACCTCCACCACCCCAATCAGGTCAACAACAACCTGCACCTCAACAGTCCGAAGCGATGGACAAGGTTTACTCGGCAGGTCCTGTAGGAAACGCTTTGGGTGATCCATGGCCAAATAGTGCATCCGCTGACATGCCAAAAATTGTATCTTTAGATGTCAAGTGCGAGAAAAATTCAATGAAAGTTTTCTTGGGCTTTGACAAACCATTCTTTGGCATAGTGTTCAGTAAAGGTCACTACAGTAACGGCAATTGCGTACATTTGCCAGCTGGTCTCGGCCGTACATCAGTCAATTTTGAAATTGGAATACATGCATGTGGTACCACTGGCAACACCGAAAACGGTTTATACGGATATGGAGCTGATTCTGGATCGGGTACTTACTTTGAAAACATCGTTGTTGTTCAATACGATCCTCAAGTACAAGAAGTATGGGATCAAGCAAGAAAACTACGGTGCACGTGGCATGATCAATACGAAAAGTCTGTGACTTTCAGACCGTTCCCAGTTGACATGTTGGATGTAGTTCGCACAGATTTTGCTGGCGATAATGTTGGCTGTTGGATGCAAATACAAGTAATTTAATTTACATAAATTTAAACAGATCTTTGTAATTATGCAAAATCTCCAATGCATTTATTAGTTAATAACAAGCATTTGTTGCATATTTATGGCAACAGATCGGTACAAATATAAAGATTTTTAATCGTTGCTATAACTTTTAAAAATTCTGAGAAAAGACATTTTAATGTGTTTTATTTTTAATGAACCAGAATAGTAGTGTTTTAATCGTACAAAACATATTAGAAGCAATGAATAATTTTTAAGAATGAATAGAAATTTCTATTTTGATTTTCTTACAGCGTGTCTCAGATCTATATAATAGCTTTTTAGCTTTGGACTACGTATAAAGAATATTTTTATTAATATTTACAACTGAATAAAAAATTTTCTTTTTTTAATTTAAAAATTGCCATTTTTTAGCTATTTTCTTATAAAAAAAGTTGATGGGTCAATACATAGAAAACATAGAGTAGGTATATAGAAGGAGTGAGTACAGCTCGTACTGGTGTATGTATACCCCACTCGCGTTTCAAACTCATTCAATATATTAAAATTTTTGTAACTCAATTAGTACTTGACCTAAAATTATTATCAACTCATCAACATATTTCTATTTTTTTCTTATTAGTAGTAAATAAAAATATATAAGCTTTAAACGTAGTTTAAAAAGTAAATAATTATTTTTAAAAAAAATGTCAACAAAATGATAATTTTATCAAAAGAAATAAGCGCTGTCAGTGGAATACTGTATAATGTGTTACAAACAAAATAAATGATAGACTTAAATGATCATTTTTTATGATAAAGAAACATTAAACTAATTTTAATTTTGTAGAATTAATTTTCATATTAATAATATTATTTGATAGAAGGTGAAGAAACTATTTAAACCGATTAATATTACCATATCATATAATTAATGAAGCAAATTAAAGTTTATAAATTATTCATGATATATTACAGTTTTATTTATAAAAAAAAAAATTAACAGTTATATTTTTTTTCGATAGGTCGGTAAAGGACCTTGGGCCTCTGAAGTTTCTGGACTAGTAAAAATTGGTCAGACAATGACGATGGTGTTGGCAATTAAGGACGATGATTCCAAATTTGACATGCTTGTGCGTAATTGTATGGCTCATGATGGCAAGAGAGCACCAATTCAACTTGTTGATCAAAAGGGTTGTGTGACTCGAGGTAAGCTAATGTCTAGATTCACAAAAATCAAGAATTTTGGCGCTAGTGCCTCTGTATTGTCTTACGCACACTTCCAAGCCTTCAAATTCCCCGACTCAATGGAAGTGCACTTCCAATGTACCATACAAATTTGCCGTTACCAATGCCCAGACCAATGTTCTGACTCTAACGCCATATTAAACGCTCAGCATGGTAACTTGCTAGCCGCTCATCATCCAGCTATAGCTGCAGGACCCGAATACGGACCACCTTCACCACCTTCAGATTTATATGCCCGTATTGGTTCAGTATCTCATCCAAGAGACGAGCGACGCTTCAAGACAAGACACCGTAGGGCTGCTACCGAAGAAGAAGAGGTTGGAGTAAACCGTATCATTAAAGTAGTCTCTACCGGAGACTTGACTTTTGCTATCGATGAATCTAACAATTCGACCACAATGGTTTTCCCTACGAGAACTGTTGACCCATCTTCCATGATCTGTATGACTACCGTAGGATTTTCTGCCACGCTTATGGCGTTACTTGGTATCTTATTAGTATCTTGTCTCGTCTCCGCTTATTTGTGTCTACGCATCAAATCAATGCCACAGAGACAGAAGAACGCTCAAGTAGCCCGTACCAATCCAACCCTTCATCCTGCTCACAAGACCAAGACAATGCACCACAGTATGTTCACGTGAGAAGTGATCTTAAGTAATTGGTAATGTCATCAACGTCATTATGCACATAGTATACACACGTCCGTGTTAAACCAAAGTCCCCTACCCTCCTCCCCCGCCGCTAGTAGTAACGTGTCGATATTTGATGACATATCGCTACGCTACAAAATACTTAGGTATTTATTTATTTTCGTTACAACCTAACGTATACAATATTTTTATTGTTAAACGTTTAGAATTTCTTTTTTTTTTTTTATCGGTATTAAAACGTTTTTTTATTTTATACTTTAATATCACGCCAGGAGTCCGAAACTCGAACTACGCTCCCCATCGTAAAACTATCAAACTATTATTTATATGTCATAGATAACTATCAATTTTTCCTAAACACTTTCCCATTCACATCGCGAACAACGGGTAATCCAAGCGCCACCATAAAATCTATCTTAATGAGGTGTAACGTTTTTTTCTTATAATGTTATTCTTTATTTATATTTTCTACGCTTAATTTTTCCGTACCAAAATAAAAAAAAAATCATTAACTATTCTATGTTTACCCTATTCTCGACACTTATTATTGTTATTAAAAAATAGGTATAGGTATCGAATTAAAAATAACTTTTGAACCAACTAATCAATTAACAGTTATACGTAGACGTTGTAATACCCACCAAGCGGAAACGCTGTATTATTTAAAATAAAATAATTAGTGTTAGCCATATATTTTCCTTCTATGGGTTGTCTTATTATTATTGAACATAAATATATATTTTTGTTACACGCTATAAATGCTCAAAATATTGCAGTCGGAAAAGGATCTGTAGTAGATCCAACGTAAATTACCGATTTCTGCGAATTGATATAAATGTTAGAACGTATGAGTTAAGTCTAATATAAATTATAAGATCAAAATTTTAAGATACTGGCCATAAACATTTATGCTTAATAAATAATATTTGTATAATTTTTAGAATGCTTACTTTGATATGCTTAGCCTTTTTGTCTAGAATTTATGTCTGATTAGTTTTTTTCTAGGAGGACTTTTAACTTCAACAACTTTTGTGCGTTTGCCGTAATAGCTATACAATTAAAAAAACAATTAAAATACAATAATTTTATTAATTTTTATTTTTAGCAAAACATTTTTTCTTCTTATCGACAAATATGTTTTATTACAATTGTTTCAATAACTTAACATCAAAGCAATCGGCACATGCATATTAGTTGTTGATTAATTAATTAATTTTATTATATTTTTAAGTTAGTACTTAATATTTTTGTTTTAAAGTTATGAAATGTGATTACAATGTCGTCATGAATAGTATTTATTTTTATTTTACTCGTGATATATTTTCTAAAAGTATATTGTCACACGTAAATTAATAACTTTTATGTTGTCTTTAAATATTATAATTTATTAATTTTATTTAATATTATTTATACTTAAATGTATTGTCTGTTGAAGAACAGACGAAATTTTAGAACTGAATTAAATACATTTGTGAAAATAAAACAATGGTTTTTAATTGATCGACTCAAAGTAGATTTTGAAATATTTTTCTGTTGTGTATAATTAAGTAGAAAATATGTGCAAAGGGAATGTCCATCAACGGCCGGTAGTAAATCACGACGGTTCAAATGCGGACGACGTTGATTTCCGTACAGTGTGTCTGTGTGTACGTGCTCTCTCATAGTGTCTGTGTGTGTACAAGCATTTCCTCTATTAGCCATACACGTATAAAGTGTACACACGTGTGTGTGTGTGTGTGTGTGTGTGTTGATAGTAGTGGACTAGGAGGTATATATGAACGGACACATGCGTAAAATACCAACGGGTCGATCGGCCACCGGCTAAACCAGTCCAGGAAGTAGGTGAATGGCACACTTTTGAAGTTGAGAGCGCGGGATAAGTGAAACACTACTACTTCATGTTATATGTGAGTTTTTATACTGATAATAAATAATATTGTAATAAAAATACACGCTCGCGGACAAAAAGGAAACGTTTTCGTCAGACAAATTTTCGCCGACTCCTCGAGGCGCACACACACACTCATCAAACTACTTAAATCATTATGAATATTTTTTTCCCATTGCATCGATTAGAGCAAAAGCAACGACGTTTATTAATTACAATTTTTTTTTTCAAAATAAAAATTATGTGTCATTTTGTGATGCTCTGCATTAGCAGTTGACAATCGAATAACTGCAGAAAAAGCTATTGAGTTTTGGTGAAACTGTTTTCTTTAGAAAAAAATTCTCTGCAAACGCAACAAACCACTTTCACATACCATCAGTGCAAACAATTTATTTTATCCTAAAAAGGCTGTCGTCTATTTAATAAGAAAAATTCAATTTTTACCAAACGAAAAATACGTTTCTATTGTGGTTAAAAAAAAATTATGGTCATGATACGCTTTCATTAGACAGACAAATATCTAATCTACTATAGGAAACTTATTTCATTTACTGTCGGTTAGTAATAAGTAAAATTTTTAATCCCAATCATAAGTGAGTTAATGTTTCTTTTCAAAAATGATAGTTCTCATTCGAAAGAAATATTATTCTAACAGATGAAACAATGGTAATTTACAATAACGTTTTTAAAGAAATCGACTTTGTTGTAATTAAAAAAAAAACAGATTTTTTTGATAGAATTAACTCGACATTTTTTGAACATGATTAAGTAAAGATGTCTCTATGAAAATCTTAAAAGCCTATTGACATAATTTATCAGTTTTTGGGTATAAGCCACAAAAATTATATTATTATCAAATATATGTATAAAGTACTATGAAGATATTTCATATATTCTATGAACATAATTTATATCTCTATCTATTGTGCAGTATATTTTCTATGAATTAAATTGACCTCTTAAAAATTAGTCTTTAGGATTTAAAAAGAAGACTTTGTTAGATTAAAATAGTTTACATTTCTTATAGAAACTTGATAATATATATTGTAAAGGGTATTATTTATTTAGTTTTTACTAGGTAAAAGTTTCTATTGAATTTTATTCCGCATTTGATTATATTTTTAATTTAATGAAAAGTCACAAATTATTAAATTAATAATTATAAAAGACAATATAGTTAAAAAATAACGAGTTTTAATTTTAATACGTAAAAAACTAAAGTTTCGTATAAATAATGCCATCTAATGCTGTAATACTTACTAAATGACACTGTTATTAGGACTTGCGATTGCTGACTGTAGTATACTTAACTTTAATGAATTATTATTCAAAGTTATTAGGACACTAGTTTACGAAAAACGGTTTTAAAAAAAATTTTATTTTTAATTAAATTCAGCAGACATAATTTTTACAAAAGTAAATCAAATATCTAGAAACTTATACACATATATATTTTAAAAATGAAATTTACTTTTTAACTGATACATGCAATATATAATCGTCTTAATAGTATCGTTAAATTTCACAATTCATATTAATATTAGTATTATATCGAATCACAGTACCAATAGATTTATAAGTTAATATTAATGATAACTGATTAATAGCTACACATTAATTTAGTTAAATTTATTTAAGAAAACGTGTCTTAAAATGAAATAAATAAAAATTATTCGAAATAATATTGGAATTTTCCAGTTTTTAAAAAACGGTCTAAATCAACGATAAGATGACACAAGGAGTATTACAAAAATATTTGCTAGATATATGTTAGTGAACGTGTAAAAAGAATGTAAGGGGTCAATTGAGGTCTCAAGTATAACCTTTTATATAAAAGTTGTAAGAAAACACATAAAAGATAAAAAGATAGTAAAACACCTGAATCTGAGGTTGATGATGCATATATGTTAAATTATTTGAATATTTTCACGATTTAAAATTGTTTAAGTTAAATTGTATTCAATTTAAAGAAGGAGTAGTATAATTATAATTAATTTTAATTATAATTTCATTTGCGTATTTTTTTATCCGAGACCACACCCTGAAAATGCCTCTAAGATTAATTGAGTGTTATCATGAACATTACTATATATAAACTTTATTACGATATTAATATGATATTATTATAAAAATAATAATCTTATTGTTATTTGTTATGTAATTAACAGTGAGCATAAGCTATTGAATTAAAAAAAACTCATCGTGTTAACAGATATTTATAGTGTAAGCAGAAAACACTACCAATAACTAAAAGTTTTCCTTGAAATTAACATAAATATATTAACACCTCAATATATGTATATAACTATAAAAATCTAGATTTTTTCTACGTATTTAATTGAAACATAAATCTCCTAACAGATATTCGAGAGTGTCAAAGCCTAACTAGAAATGCTTTCTGATGGCGTAAACGATACTTGATTTATTATAATAAAACGTATAATATATTAAATCATGTAAACTAGACCAATGAAATAATATGTCGAGTGAATGTTCACACTTGATGTCCGATTTGTAGTTTTGTGTGGGAACCGGTGTATATTGCGTCCGCCACATGTGTGATTTCTTTAACTACTAAATGACCACGAGGATAAATTATTGTTCGGATTTTAAAACAATTTTTTCGAATGCTTTGTTCCCTTAATTTGTTGGCAATTATATGGCTATTATTTTTATTGTTTAGCTTTAAATTTTAGTTCATTTATGATAATTACATTTAGAAAGTTTTATTTTATCATTCTCAAAATAGTACTCTATACGCATCTTTTGTGACTGCCGTACTCGATGCTGATTAATACATTATTATTTACTATCGATTACCTACAGGTAATCACGGAACTTAATATATGTATATGAACACGTTAAATTTAATGCATTCGGATGTCTTTGAAATCGGGTCAACGTGCCCATGTATAATACACCATGTCTTAATCTATCGAATCGAGATGATAAAATATAAATAAGTAAGGCGATTAAACAGCAAAATACCAAAACAACATCACGTCGAATCAAATATTTGTGAAAAAGACATCTTCAACGGTTCATCGGCGTTAAATTGTACACATCCTTGTCATGTTAAGTCTGTTTACATGGTAAATGCTAAAATTTACATTACAATATGCCCGTTAGTTAAATATAATCAAGATATCGTATCACGATCTCGTTAGAATTTCTCATGTATGATTTAGATGTTTTATACCCTATTCATTGTTTAACACTCTATCTCTATAGATCTTAATCTGATAAGCATCTTGAACCGAAAGTGTTAAACATTGTTAGCGCTTAAATAACTTTTTAATAAAAAACGATGTTAAATTTTATAATAATTGTATTTTTGGTCGA